TTAACAATAAAAACATTCCGCCAAGTCATTTCATACACACCCCGACGGCCCACCTGAGACACATACACTCATAACGATGACTTTAATTGACTGCGGACCGTAATAAATACATTCTGTTCTACAACTACTTTTAATTAAAAGACAACAACAATTCAATTTCCCTTTGTTAATACTAAAGCTTAGTAGACAAAATGTATAGAATTGTAAAAATCACTTGCAGAGTGAACCCAACTGCTATAGCTATGTTTATATAAATCGTTAAAATTTGCACGGATTGGCTCTCACGAGTGAGGTAAACGCTTAGCACTAAGTGGCTACGTGAACAATAGACAATTAGATGTCATCATAATTGCGCAGGTCTAATGTACTTTAGAATGTATCGAAAGTATCTGTAATCTGAGACGATCTCGAAAACAAGTTTTTAGATCCCTCTATGGATCATAGCGTTTTTCATTAATTTCTTTGACAATTATAGTATGATCTTAAATAATTAATATTTTCCGCTCGAGGAAACAGTTGTCTAGGTGCTTAAGCACTTATTCTAAATTTTAAAAACTCTAAAGTATGCTATACGGCAATTGATCCATGAAATGGCTTAAAATCGTGGCAAATGTCGTAAATTGCAAGTGGTTGAATTAGTATAACTTAACCCTTTCAGAACAACTGGGACAATATGTCCCAACAATTTTCAAACATCAGCTCACCAAAGTAAGCTATTAAAAATGCAGCTTTTAGTATATATTCCACAATGTAAACAAAAAAATAATGGTAAAGATCAGCATGTGTCTGCAAGTTGGCGATCAATTTCACAACACCGGTAAAATTTGGTCAGTTCGATCGCAAATTTTGTTGATAGCTCACGTATAAGACGTAAAGTGTTCACTAATAGTGTTTTCTTAGTGAGAAAAATAGTAAATCTATATACAAATTTATCTTTGAAGCGTTAAGCACTGATACAATGTAATCAGTGATTATTTATAACAAAATAATAGGTGGGGTCCATCCTTCTGACCAGAATGCAGGGCTCTACGATTTCAACCGCAAATCTCAAAAGTGGTGGAAAAAAGTCTTCTATAAACACCTAACGGTTGCGGTAACCAATTTATGGATTATCTATAATGAACATAAAAATATTAAGCTGTCTCTAAAAGAATTTGGGGTGCCTTTAGCGCTAAATATGATTTTGGAGGGCAGAAAAGGAGGGCGCAAATTGATCTTCTCAACAGAAAATCATGGTAACCCCAGATGCTGCTTACGATGCACATCGCTTAGGCAGGAAAGACGTACAAAAATGAAATGTTCGGACTGCAATACATCATTGTTTTCGCATGCTTTGCACATATTTACAAATTATGGTAATAAATATGTAATTAAAATCAAGAAATAAATAAACATTACTATAAATTTCAACTAAACTGCCTTTCAACTACTCGATCCTAACATTCATTGAGATAATATGTCCCCCTGAAAATACGTATTGGGATTATATGCCCCAGAATATGTTAAAAGAACGATTTCCGCATATTCAAGTACACAGTACATAATTTATTTAGCCACATTTCAAAATGTGCAAAAAAAATTGCTACTATTATCCTGGATTTTTAAATGAAACTCTCAGAGAGCTTTCGTAAGTTGGGCGTACAAATTTTAACAAAGTCCGGGACCCATTTGCTTATGTGCTCCACTTGATAGAAGCTTTTGCGGAAGGAGTTTGATTGCGCGCTCACAAAATCCAACTCGTGCAAGAATTGAAGCCGGCCAAAATGTTACAGTCAATGGGGAACGCTATAGAGCCATGATTAATGACTTTTTCGTGCCTGAATTGGATGAAGTTAACTTTTGGTGAGTGCTTTATCTCTCGTCGTGGGCCTGTGACGTGGCCTCCAAGATCGTGCGTGATTTAACATCGCTGGACTGTGTATTGCAGATAAGCCCGATACGATTGACGCCTGGGAAGAGAATATTCGGCTGGTTAATTCTGTCATAGGGCCTTAATTGCTGCAAAAAGTTGTATTTTTCGACCTTGGCCTATCGGCTTGAGTTTGTTCGAGCCAGCCGCGGCGGCCAATAGCCCGAAATCAATTTTAAACCATAATGGCAAGCCCATATCTTTATAGTAAAGCTAAGTTCTTGGCCATAACTTTAAATTCTATACGTTTTATTTCTTCACGAAAACCACATAACTAAAAAACACACCCTTTATAAAATACATACTTATTCACATATGTACCATAAATATATATACGAGTATACTTATGTATATACATATATACAAACTTGTGTGGTCTCTTGTTGTTGGCGCAACAATTTAATTACTAACGTCAGATGTAAACGGTGGCCGACACATAGAAAGGAGAGATGTAAAAATTTCATATGGTTGGTGGTTCTTCAGAATGCTTTGCAAATGTACATTTTAAACGTTTACACTCTACATAAACTCAGCATATTTGCATATCTTATGTATGTATGTATATGCATGCATATTTGCTTGGTACAAGTACTGTGGATGGGTGGTGTACGCGGGAATGTCAATTTCGCTTGAATTTCCGCTCCTTCAATGTTGGAATGTCTCATGCCGTCTTTCAATTTAAACCGAAATTATAATAAAAGCTAAATAATGTACGATAAACTCTTTATCAGAGATTGGTTTGCAGAGATTTACTTGCGACATTTAGCATTTGGTGCCACGAGGCGTACACATTTCGTGATCTGACATCCTGTTTTCCTCTTCGTAAAAAACCTTTACACACCTTTTGATCCGCTTAATCAATTTGTAGACCAAAAAGTGCCACGATGAGTGTTATCCGAGTTCTGATACTCCAAATATATCAATGAGACGGGTTGGTCATATTGTTAATGAAAATTTGGACAAGCTCACAAATTAATAAAGTGGCAGAAAAATTGTATGAATTGGGCTTGGAAATGTTTACTTCCACCGTATACTTCGGATCTGGTCCCCATTGATAATCTACCATATCTTCTTACAAAGGGTCTCGAAGTTTTGTAAAGCTTCATTCAATATTATTGTTATTATTGTATAAGGTGCGTTCCAAAGTAAACAGGACAAAATGCAGTGCGAAAATGAGCTTCGAACAAAGAGCGAACATTAAATTTTGTTTTAAAATTGGTAAAACTTTTACCGAAACATTTCAATTGATGAAATAAGTTTATGGCGATGATTGCCTATCCCGTAGCAGAGTGCACGAGTGGTTTCAACGTTTTCAAAGTGGTCGTGAGAACATAAATGAGAAATAAGCCGAAACCCAAAAAATCGCGCCTGGAGAAGTCAAAAATGAAGACAATGCTGATTTGTTTTTATGATTCCAAGGGTATTGTCCACAAAGAATTTGTTCCAACACCATAATGCGGTATTCTACCTTGGAGTTTTGAAGCGTTTGGTGCGCCGTATTCGACGTGTTCGGCCCGAATATCGCGAAGATGGAAATTGGCGTTTGTTGCACGATAATGCGCCGTCTCATCGATCGACGCTTGTGGCCGATTATGCGCAGAAAATCCACAAATTATTCATAAACAACCATTAAATTCACCTAAATTGACAGTTTCGTGTGGTTTTGGGTCTGGTGGAATCATCGGTCCGTAATTCTTTCAGAATGAAGCTGGTGACACCGTTACTATTAATGGAGAGCGGTATAGATCGATGGTAACCAACTTTTTATGGCCGCAATTGGAAGAAGTTGATCTTGACAACATCTGGTGTCAACAAGACGGAGCTACGTGCCATACAGCACTAGCAACAATTGGAATATCGCTACAAAAGCTCGGAGATTCGATAATTTGAAAACATTATGACATTGAATGGCTCTTAGAAGTTGTGATTTAACACCATTAGACGACTTCTTGTGAGGTTATTTAGAGTAATTAATCTTTAGCAATAAACTAGAATCTTTTCAAGCTTTATAAGTTAATATTGAACGTGCTATTCGTGACATACAAATTGATTTGTTGGCAAAAGTATTCGAAAATCGGGTTTATCTAATTCGTTCCTGCAAATAAAGTCGTGAAGTCAATTTGAATGAAACATCCGTAACTTAATTGTATCGATTATACCTCACATTAAATGAAAAACCATTAAATTTCCTTCACAATTATTCCTTTTTTAAAGAAAATTAATATCACTCTGATTGGAAAACCCTATATATACCCGATTTGTTTTAAGTGATACATACAACCGTTAGATGAAAAAAACTATTATACTCTGTAGCAACATGTTGCAAAAGTATAAAAGCTTATCGGTTATCCGAATAATTTCATAGAGAGACTATGATAATTGTTGTCAATTAAATTATTCATTCGGTTACAATAATTATTGGTATGCACTAATATGATGAATGTATTGATTTGTTTTACTCTTATTTTAATATAAATACATCACTACACATTGCGAGAGTATAAAAAGTTTGGTTACAACCGAACTTAGTCTTCCTTACATGTTGAGTTCCATAATTTGTTCAACATCTGATGTCAGGCGCTATCATAGCGTTTTGAGGTTAGATTTGTATAAGTTGTTCTCATTAAGATGAATATAGGGCTTTCTACAGGATCAGGGCGGGATCCTTTAACAAATGCGATATAAATGACCTATTGTCTTCCAGGTAAAAAAATTTTAAAATTTTACAGTTTTATATTCAAATACTGCCTGAACTGAACTGGTCGATTTTGCTACAGAATATGCAAATAACAGCACTTCTATTGATAAAAAGATTGGCTTCATTTAATATAATATTTACACACTTGCAAGTATATTTACTTCAACTTTGTTTTAATTTCATAAATGTTTAGTAATCGCATTGAACAAAAGCATTTTTTGCGATTTGAGGGATTGTTTATACAGATTATAGTATTACATAAGTACTCGTATATGTTTATTTACGAAATGCCTCATTACACAAGTATTTATATAACATTATTTGCATTATTACCTTTCTTATTTCGTAAATTCTGTGCATCTTATTCGTATATCTTTAATTGTTCTATTACAGGAACAAGTTAAGCTTGACGCTCATAAACAGGTGACCAGTCCAGATGATTTCGAAGATCTCAGTCCAATGCCACAAACGGCCGCCCCGCCTGTGCGACGACGTGGCGGTATCTCAGCCGAGCCGGTCACTGAAGAAGACGCCACAAGTTATGTGAAGAAAGTTGTCCCTAAGGATTACAAAACAATGGCCGCGCTCTCGAAGGCGATTGCCAAAAACGTCCTATTTTCGCATTTGGATGAAAATGAGCGTTCGGACATCTTCGACGCTATGTTTCCAGTTACGCATTTAATGGGTGAGAACATTATTCAGCAAGGAGACGAAGGTGACAATTTCTATGTCATTGATCACGGGGAGGTTGAGGTATGTACCACAAAGAAACAAAAAAAAAAAAAAAATAAAAATAGTTTCTGTAACTGTACGTTCTTACCTTTGCAGGTCTTTGTGAATTCCGAATTGGTTACAACAATTGGCGAGGGTGGAAGTTTCGGTGAGTTGGCGCTCATATATGGCACCCCACGTGCAGCTACTGTACGAGCCAAAACCGATGTAAAACTGTGGGGCATCGATCGCGATTCCTATCGCCGAATTCTGATGGGTTCCACCATACGCAAAAGGAAAATGTACGAAGAATTCTTATCACGTGTGTCAATTTTGGGTAAGTTAGGTTGAAACCATGGTAAATAATTTTTATGGTATACTCTTGGAATATGTTGCTACAGAGTATAATAGTTTTGTTCACCTAACGGTTGTTTGTATCACCTAAAACTATTCGAAATAGATATAGGATTATATACATATAAATGATCAGAATGACGAGACGAGCTAAAATTCGAATGTCTGTCTGTCCGAACGTCCGTCTGTCCGTGCAAGCTGTAACTTGAGTAAATATTGAGATATCGTAATGAAACTAGGTACACGTGTTGCTTGGCAAAAAGTAAGGACGAGTTCGTAGATGGGCGTAATCGGACAACTGCTACACACACAAAACGCCAGTAAAGGAAAACCTATAAATTGCCGAAACTAAATACTAAAATAAGATATAGAATTGCAATTTGGCATAGGGGATCGCAGTAGTAAGGGACACCTGTGGGCTAAAATTTTGGAAACACGGACCAAACTCTCCAAAAGGAAATCAAGCACCAAAGAATATATCGAGATAACACTTTGCAAAAACAGTGCGCTTATAGTAGGCCCTCAAATACCGAATATGTGGACCCCAGTACCTATAGTTGAATTTTTGCCGATAATATCGGTCAATGTGCAAGATATATATATACATATATTAAATTTAGCCTCTTCGATCGAGATAACTCACATACATATACCTCATTTGAAGGTGTTTTTAACATAATTTTAGCTGACACGAAATAGCAATAAAACTAATTCTAAGATTATGACTTTCAATATAAGTCAAGAAGAGACCAATTTTGATTGCAATTTATTCACGATCGAATAATGAATGTTTAATTCTTTCGCAACATTTTTTAATATAAGATGTTGCCAACAACTGAAGGTACAAGAGTATAAAATGTTTGGTTACACCCGAACCTAGCCCTTTCATATTTGTTTAAACATATGGATTTTTCAACTAACTGTAAAATTTTGTAATTAAAACGTTTGTATACTAGCGCAGCCAAACCTTTGTTATTTGACATTATACTCAAACATATTTAAGGGTTACAGTATTATTTAAAACCATTTAAAAATTGATGATTTTGTAAGAAATGACACCATAAATGTAAAACTTTGAAAGGACGTTGATATATAAATTCTCACGACCTTTCATAAAAATTGGTCCATGAGTTACAAAATTTTACATTTACATTACACAATCCTTTGATGCTTTCTACTTTAGCCAACTTGCGTAATATGCCATGGCTCCTTATAATTATTAAATGCTTGCTGTCTTGCTACTATTTAATCATAATTATTTCTTACTCACTACTCACTGATAATTAATTACTTAACATATTTTTATGTTACAGAGAGTCTTGATAAATGGGAACGTCTTACTGTGGCCGACGCTTTGGAACCTGTGTCATTCGAAGATGGCGAAACAATTGTCAAACAAGGTGAACCAGGCGATGATTTTTATATAATTTTAGATGGAACCGCGGTTGTACTCCAACGAAGAGCCGAGGTAAAATAAATACAAACTCCAAAAATTCCTTAAATATTTTAACTAATTGAATTTCATTTCAATCGATAGCAAGGAGATGAACCTGCTGAGGTTGGTCGTTTGGGTCCAAGTGACTACTTTGGTGAGATCGCTTTGCTGTTGGATCGCCCCAGAGCGGCCACTGTGGTAGCCAGAGGACCGTTAAAATGTGTTAAATTGGATAGAGCGAGGTAATTGCATTTATAAAGGTCACTTTTTTAAAAGCAATATTTTCTTGCTAATTTAGTTTATTTGCTAAACTGATTTACACGTTATCTCATTAAACATAGAAATTTGTATTCGACTTAGTTAGTGCTTATAGAACATGTAATACAATTTTGAAAAGAAAACAGTTTATTTAGTTGACCGGATGTTTGATAATCCTTATAATAGTATATTGTAATGGAAGCTAGGGCAAATTTTCATTGGATTTTATCTATTTTAGGCACAAAGATAAACTGGTATGGGTAAGAGATTCGCTTTGAACTTCATTAAGATAAATCACACATATGTGCTATAAAGTCAACCGGAAGCTCGAAAATATTTATTTATTAGGTCTATGGGAAGCAATGACCTCATCTTATCCATTTTCAGCACCAGGACACACTAATACCAGGAAAAGACTTTCCCTAAGTTTCATTGTTATGTCTTTGAGAGTGATCGCTATTTTCGGTTAAAAATTCGTCATAGACACTTAGGTCTACATATTTGGTATCTAGTGGCTTGAACAGAAATAGTTCCATTTTGACAATTTTTAGTCATGTAAAGGCAAACTTTAGGCGCACTATACGTGCAAAGATATATCCCGATATATTCGTTCTGCCTTGATGTATGGACTGTAAAGTGAAAGAATCAAATTGTGTTATATGGAAAGAAGGCGTAGTATTTGTTCGGTTTCGTTCATTTTCACACCGTAATATAGAAATGTCAGGAGAACGTTATGAACCTAATTTGGTAGAAATTGAGTCCAAAGATATGGAATTTCTACTTTATTTGGTAAACAAAAGTGTTCTACACTTGGTATGGTTCGAGTATTTATCACCATAATATAACTCTTCAATATTAATTCCATCATAGGTAGTATATTATTAATGTTTAAATGTATGCACTACTATATTAATTGTTTGATATTTATTCGAAACTCATCTTTTACTTCTACAGATTTGAGCGTGTACTGGGACTCTGTGCCGACATTTTGAAGCGTAACATCACGCAGTACAACAGTTTCGTTTCGTTATCTGTTTAAGACAGCAATTCAACATTAAAGAGACTCCACATTTACTTAGATCGAAATTTTTTGAGGTAGTAACTTTCAGTTGAGAATAATCATTGAATTGTGTCATCTTAATTAGCCAGCAATTAAATCAACGGAAAATATCTACCTACTATCAAATCTTAACCTTAAAAATCAAAGACAACAAGTTATCAAAAAATTTGCAACAAAAATGGAAATAAAAAAAGAATTTTAAACTCAATACAAAACTGTGAGCAATTGCACCGTAGAAACGTGGGCTGTTAAAAAATAGATGTTCGCAACATATGCAATTTAGAAAAAGTAAAGAAAACAAAAAAAAAAACACATCTTTAGGCTTTCGCATACCTCTAATTGGTCATTTCATTATTCTTGGAAAAACATCAACAATTGCACATTGCGTACTAAGTATCAAGCCTTTACAAGTTTATAATTGCCTATGCACAAAACCGTCACCGTCAGTGAGTGGGTTAGTGCCCCATTTGCATGGTTTTATTACACTGTTTCGAAAGTAAATGTCTTAATATGGTAAAGCGCGACAAAATATCGCAGCAATTTGACGCTCTATTCAAGCCACAATATTCATAATTAATTTTGTTGTTTTTCGATTTTCAATACTTTCCAAGCTTTTAGAATGTACACTAAAATAGTTTTATAAAATTTTGCTTTCGGTCAAAATTCAAATACTTGTAAATATGTAAGACTTTATTTGCGAAAATATAAATATCTACTGTTACAAACCTTCAAATGACCATGCATTTTAACGTCAAATAGAAAACATATATGTGATCGATGTTTGGTTTACATTTGTAACGTGTTAAAAATTGTGACTAATATACTTACATATATGTACATGTGTCTGCATAATTTTTTGAGGTTAAGTATAGTCAGAGACATGAAAAAATAACAATTTTAAGTTTTTTTTTGGCAGTAAATTTTTTCATTTCTTAAAAGTAAAAACACAGTATCGTTAAATATAAATAAGGTTTCGACTTGACTTAGCTGAAATTTGAAAAAAAATAATTTTAAAAGAAGGAGCCCGTTGCTATGACCATCACTAATCCTGTGAAATTAATCCGAATCAATCGGACCAAAAAAATTAATTTTGTTAATTAATAATCTAATGGCTGACCGAAGCTTTTTTAATTAACAAAATGGTGACCTCAAGAATTTATTTTCCAGATTTTTGGGAAAAACCAACAGTTGATTGTTTAAAAAAATCGAAATTAAAAGCAGTTTTTCTATCAGGTATAATTTTTTATGTTTCCAAAAAGCTTTATAAATTTCATTGAAGTCTAACAAGCGGGTTTCGAGCTACAGTGGTCACCAGCTCAAAAAACATTGTTTTGAGAAAAACGCTTTCAAAGTTTTACCCTAGCGTTTCCGTTTGCCTGAGAACCCTTTGTTAATTATCGAATAACTCGAAAAGTATTTGTCGGATTTACTTTAAATTTTCAGAGAATATTTCAATGATATGATATTTTGAGAAAAAGAAGAATGAAATGAAAATGAAGGACGATTTTATGAAAATTCTAACTACCCCCAACCTCTTATGTGTATATTTGGCTGGTTATGGATTAACTTTACTTCGCTGATCTCTCTTAGCAATAAACAACACAATATTACAAACTACTATGTATCTTTCCCGACGTGAGTAACTTGTTAACGTCCAACTAGCTTCCATGTGTCTACCTATTTCTATCACACGGCTATAAGTAAATATGATAATAAATGTTAACCATAATTGTATATCCTAACGAAAAAATGCATTTAAGACGGCATGAAACCAAACGCCCGTTTTAATGCTTTAACTGTAATTGTTTTAAATTAAAAAATTTTGATTAAAATGTGGATAGACTACTTTTGATGTAAAACTTATGAAGAACCCTAAATGAATTAAATAGTCGTTAAAAGCGACACTCAAATATCATTAATTTTCTTTTTAACTGGAACACTTTTAAAACTTGTGGCGCACTGACCAAAAGCCACAACGTTAGTGTTGAAACATAAAATGTAACACTTCGGAAACGGCACAGTACTAATTTATAACAAGTAATAATTCATATTTAAACTTTCATAAAATGAAAAAGTGCTGGTGCGCTCTCGTTTGTAAACTAAAATAATTGTACATCAACCTAAAATACGAAACACCTAAATATATATGCATGTATATCCATAACTTATGTATAACAACAAATTACTTATAACCCTACTTAATTCTTCACGCACACTTACTATTTTGTGTTGAAAAATTGCGTAAAGAATGCTGCATGTTGGCATGTGCTCCGTTAGTTCTACTAACACCAGGTAAAGCGGAGCAACAGGTCAACAAGTTATTGAGTAATAAGTAAAGCACCCGCCGGCGGGTTTAAGGACACATATATACTGGCATATTAAAGTGAATAAATATGACTATTAAACGAAACGAAATTTCTATAAAAACACCTTATATTCGTATTGGAAACTGGCAATGGCTGAGGGACGCTGTGGCGACCTTCTGTCTCGGTTGTCTTGCGTAACTCTAAACAACAGCAATGGATTGCTGTGATGTGTTTGAACATCAAACATTCACCTTCAACAACCCATAGTAGGATATATACATACATGTAATACATACATATGTGTTGAGCAAGAAAACTGATCTATATACATACATACGCAAGTTAAATTTATCGAACATTTATACTATCTAATCATCGTTTGTATTTATAAATATATATGTATATTAAATTGTGAACTGAATTGCATATGCGATGCTTGTACTACTGATTAAAAAATGTAGCTACTTTATGATAAATATTGAATACGTTTTAATGCTTCGTTGCACACATATACATACATCAATACATATGTTCATGGAATAAATATACGAATAAAAATTACCGTAATGGTGACATTCAGATATTTTCACTTTAATTCGAATATTTAATGTTATGATCGATTTTGTCGCTTAGATTTTTTGGAAATAAAAATATTGCTGTTGGCAAAGCGTCCCTTTTAGGACCATGTTGCTATAAGTATGTGCGTTTATATGAACCATTGTTCTTATGTGGTAAATTAAAATAACTAGGAAAGGCCGTAATGGAGCAGTCCGCTCGTTTGTTTATTTCTATAGGGCATCCGTATGCGTAATTTTTGAAAATGATGAAAAGTTGCGAATGGATTATGGGGTTAGGTCAGACACATGAAAAAGTGGCAATTTATTTAAGCAAAATATTTATTTTTATAAAACTAAAAACTTAGCATCATTAAATAATGTTTCCACTTGACGTGATTAAAAAAAAAACTAATAATAAGCAAGATCACGATAGGCGGACCACCTGATCATAAAAATTAAGTCCATATATATTTTTCATAAATAAGTGCAATGGAAAATGTATCCCAAGCGATTTTTAAACATTTTAATTTAAAATATAATTAATTTTTATATGAAAATTGTAGGTACTTTAAATTAAAAATAGTTTTTAAATCAACCCTTGAGCTTAAATTAGAGAAATTTTCAGGCTTTGTCGGAAAATATTTACTTTTTAATAATATATTAATAACTATAAATAATTTTTTTATTATCGTAGATAATTAACTTTTAACTTAACAGCTATATATTGAAGTGATTTTTCGGTAAAAGCATGAAGTTTCTTTTAAAAAAGTTTGAAATTGCGGAAGAAAATATCACTGCTCGCAATTAATTTAAACAATATGAATTTATTATTTACATCGTTCTTTGCGTCAAGCGTTTATTTTTTATTTGGTTTTTTTGTTTTTAATACGCTTTTATTAGCTTGGGTTGTATGTATGTAATGCGATCTTAGAGCTCAATTTTCGCCGGTTTCCAGAAGTCTAATCAACTTGAAACTTTGCAGCCGTGTCAAGTACCGATTACAATGCAATAATTTAATAACAGTTTCCCATTATTTTAAAGGTGGACGTAACCCCGCTCCCTAAATGGTTTAATGTATATATCTTCCGAACCGCTAAAGCTAACTCAATCAAATTTTAATAAGTTCATAAGTTAATATAATACAATATTAATAATAATTAAAAAAAAAATCATAAATACCTTATTAAAGATTTAGCTTGCGATTTGAAAGATTTTATCGGATGTTATATGTGTAATTCTTTTGAGAGGGCAATTTATCTAGGGCGCGAACATGAAAAGCATTGTCAAACAACTGTAACTAAGTATCGACGCTATTTACACAGTATTTGATAATAAGGATAAAAATAAAAAAATAAAGAGATCTAAGATCCGATTTTCAAATGTGACACTGTAGATAATCGTTGTCGAGGTTATCAGCGTGTAAAAAAATTCTTCTAACTTCTGTGAAAAAACTGAGTGGTTCTGATATCAACGATAATAATCCAAATGACGTTCTTTTAAATAATTTTGAGTGTACTTTTAACTAAAAAAATATTAGTTCTGAAAAAATTCAAGTCCTGACTACTCTTTCGTTGGATTGGTCAATAAATATGATGTGAAACGAATTCAAAGTCTCAAAAAGAGTGGTACAAACTGCCAAAAATATTAGAAGATGATCATGATAATGATGATGTTACCCGTGTGATGCCGGACTTATTTACTCGGCCCATTTTAAAGTAAAAATATTATTATTAATCGGCCATATTCCCGTTGTCGTTTGAATTGTCGTTTCCTAAACTGCGTTCACATGGGGGCTCTTTTGACCCTCATTATCTGCAAATTCTCTTTTGGTGTCGCTCTGTGCGTTCACACGAGGAAAAATAATTCAGTAACTAAAATTGAGTTTTCTGTCATTCCTTTTCTTAAAAGGGCACTTAGAGTATGTTGCATACTTCATTTGTATGTTGGTATGGTGGTCTCACATTTTGTTGCAATTAATTATATAAAATATGGTAGAACAATGTGCATAATACCCGCTTAACACTTTCAAAGAAATACTTAAGTCGGGAATTCCCTAATCTAGTAAAATGTATTGAATACCCGCTACTAATATATTCAAGGCCAAATTTATTACAGGAATTTCCTAATCTTTCGGGAAGTATTAAAATCCCACACTTTTTTACTCCATATTTTTTTATTTTTTATAAAACATCCTTGAATTGATTACAATTCTTGTTTTAAATAAAATTATATTCGAACTAAATCCTTTGCGGTTAAAAGAAATAAATATGAAAGCATCCTAATATTTTATGTAAATATAAAAAAGTAAAGTTACCATTTTTATTAGATTTCATTTATGTATACTCGTATATTATTACATTTAATACCGCTATATGTTATTAAAACTTTATTAAGACTCTATTTTTAAGTATATCTGCTTATTCACAATTTTTCAAAACATTTATATTACGCTAGGCATACATATTTTCATAACACATACAAAAAAAAGATAATAGAATTCAAATTTCTGAACGAATGGTATACAAGTACTTGTATTTTCTTTTGAAACCGAGCTCTCTTGAAACCATGAAAAGAATTTGAAAGTGAAAAGGAATGCTGAAAAGAGAAGCAGCGAGCTGTTACGAACAAGTGCAAAGCGTGTGACCCGAGCACGAGTGGCACGGTCCCTTCGTCTTTTCTCGTCGTCGCCTCGCCCACGGTTCGGGTTACAAAAGAATCTGTGTGTGAACTGGCACCTAGTTGTTGTCGTTGTTAAAGTCGCTTCGTTCTATATTCGTATTCTTGAAGTATATCGTAACGCCAAATAAAAGTTATCAAATTTTAAATTAAAATTACGAAAGTATGGTAACGCCGAATATCGTCATTGTGTTTTACATTGTTGTTTTGCATAAAATTATGAGGACCCAATTCTTCGTTTTCCGTCCACATCAGCATTCGAGGAAATATTCAAACCGTTACAACTGTTAAATTTTATAATTATCTCAAGCTGGATTTTTCTAAGAACTTCTATTTCTTCCAAAACTCACTCGTAGTAATGGTTCAAACAGTCACCGACATTCCTCCCTTCTGTACTTCCCGCTCGTATGAAACCAAATTTGTCAAAACTTATTTTCGTAGTTGCAACGCAGAAATTAGTGGTTCTCTTTTGTTTTTATTTCACCAATGTTGCCATTGTTCTATTTGTATACACGATTTTTCACACATTTAGTTTTTGAGTTATAACTTTTCATAGTGTAAAAGCTCAACATTAAAATCCAACTATTAAAAATAGTCTACCTATGTATAATAAATGTATTCTATTGTGATTTTGAGTTATTTTAAGACTATTTCAAATATATTCAAGTTTATTTTTTAATTACTACAAAATATCGAGTTTGGCAACCCTGCGTTACAAGAGATTGTTCTTTCACTCTCAGCTCACTCGTTTCTACTATCCAATTTTCGCGGATATCCTACCGTACGGTCTGTAGAAGCAGTGGTGAATGTTCATTTTGTATCAGCTGATGCGGTCCACGGTTTTGCGTCGGTGACTGTTTGAAGCATTAAACATTCACACGATACAGACGTCATGGAGCGCAACACTACATAGTCATACCAACTTTTAAATTTTAAGTTAAGTTTTCAGTTTTAATTAAAAGAAAGTTTTGTAACAAAAATGAATAAAATAAAAATACAAGTATGTAAGTCACCACAAAATATTTGAACAGTTTTGTGAATTTAAGTACATAATAGATAAGACAATGAGAACCACGGAATTTTATTTTTCGAGTTCAAGTCTTGATGACGAATAAATAAGATTGCGGCAGAATGTCTACATACATTTTTGCTATTCCAGATTCTATGTAAGTAACGTCTTGTTTTTTTTTTTCTAAAGTCTAAATTTAATATTGCTTTATAATTTTTTAAGGTTTGAAAACATATTCAGACTCGAAAAAAAAACGACTTTTCAATTTTACCTGGAACAAATCAGCCTAAAACTTAAACAAAGCTCGCGAAAAATTGCAATTACGTCAACAATAAAATTAGCAACAACTGTACGGATTTTTGCGCTAGGGTCATATCAATTGAGAGTTGGAAATGATTTGAATCTTTCGTTCTCTCAGCCAACCTCTAGCAAAGTGTTGAACAGTATTTAAAACACAATTTGTAAGGATTGGGTGAAGTTTGAAATGTCCGAAGCTGAAGTAATGGCATTGAAAAGATATTTTTATGAAGAAGAATGAACACTGGAGGCATCGAGTGTGTAGATGGAACTCATATTAAAATAATTGTTCCCCGTAAAAATATCAAGCATTTGTATTACAACAGGAAAGATTTCTCTAGTATAAATGCAATGATTATAAATACTTGCTAATATGTCATTCAATGAAGTGTTAGCTGATTTATATTTTTCTTGCAGCTTTGTGACCAGAAAATGCGAATTAGATATGTTTAGGATTACTTACATTAGTTTAAGATTATTTTCTAATAATGTCAACTCTAATCTGGCAATACTGTCTTATCTAAGCTTTATATTCGTCATCTCTCTTTTATCATTCATTTGTCTTTATAATTATCTTTGTTTACGCATACTTAAAGTTACGGTATTTTGAATTCCGTTAAACTCCTATAAATGTCAGAGGACTTGTGTGTACGACTCTCTTCTCTGATTGTAACTTGGTGCTGATTGTATTCGTCTCTGGTTTGGTGTCAAGCCAACCGGTCACAATCGTTAAAATCCCAATAAAGCATTGAGAACTCTACCCGCTGGTAATTTAATTATTTAACAAGATATGTATGTAGAAGCCAGACATCTCAGCTCTGCGCACGCTCGAGTTAGAAGATTTCTGCAAGAAAGGCAAGATGCTGGTGAACGTAATTCTTGGATTCTTGGTTAGATATTCCACTTAATTTTATTGGAAACATTTTTAATGACATCATATAGGTCAGCGGCTGATCAAAGTGCAGAAAGCCATTTTAATTATATTTATGCAAAGGCTCGAAATATTATAGAGCTATAAATTTTAGTATAAAAATCATGCTTCCGATGTCTTCTTGTAGCACGTAAACTACACTATAAATTCCAACAAGTTACGAAAATCGCAAATTGTTGTGCTGCTCTTCACAATATTTGTATTCACCATAATGTTTATTTCTCTAATAACAATGTTGAAATGCCTTTCGATGCAGCTGAAAACCATAATGATGATAGTTATAATAGTAATATTCCACAGAAGCTGCTAGATTAAGAGATGTAAATAAAAACAATCTTCCATTATAAATCACATATTTTATTTAATTCAATGTATGCACTAGAAATAAAATGAACTCTTCATATTACGGAACGGAAGGAACGCAATATAGAATGTAAAATAAATAAAATGGAAAATAAATCTAATTAATTTGTTGCATTCAATTTTAAATCTAATACTTGTAGTTGTAGGTTTTTCTTTTAATTTCAGTATCAAGTTCCAATAAATGTTCTTTTTTCTGGGCTTTACTTTTGCATATTTTGAATCTTTCTTCCAATAAAAAATTCTTTCTTGTGTAATGAGACACATCTTTACATTAGTTAAAAATGGATTTTATGATATGCTCTATTGACTCGAACAACGGCACTGTACTTGTTGCATTTCCGTTTGTTTGCCAAACAATGTAAGTCTTTCATCTTGATTTGATTTTTTTTTAGATTGTACACATTGTTGGAGCGATGGCTATATCAATGCTGGCGTGTATACCGTAAGAAGTAGAGGCGACATTTGCGACTTCCAAAGGAACCTGTGCTTCTTCACTCCTGACACGACCGCGATAACTACTATAGTACAGAGCCAGAACAAAATCCTTAAATCACTTGCCGGCAGCTCTTGGGGAAAATACAATTCGAAGCGTTGCTGGCAACACACAAGGCAATCCGCCTGTCGGTCCTAAACTGTGGTCGCCTGGATGTAGTGCAACGCAGACGAAGAAGCTTCAGACTTATCAAAACACTGCACTCCGGACTATCACGGGATGCCTCTTGATGTCCCCAATAGAACACCTGCACAGTGAGGCCCTTATGCCAAGCAATTTCTGCTGGGGTGTTTTCACAAATCTGCTTGAAGCGGATTCGCCTCCTAGGAACATCACGAGCTCATTCCTTGATTACGTCGACGACATCAGACAGTACGCCGACCGGACTTCGGCCGCAACGAACTATAGACAAGCACTGACCGCCTTTCACAGTGGAGCCATCAACACCTTCACCGACTCCCTCTCAGTGAATGGCGTACTAAGTCAAACCAGCACCCATAGCAGACGTAGAGCTCGAGTTGCCTCGCCAAACCAGAGTGACCCTCGCGTAACTTCGTTCTGGGTATTGTAGCAGGTTAAACTCTGACATACCAAATATATGTCCTGCATGCAAGATGGAGATGTGAATGAATTTAGATTTTTGGAAATATACCTCCAAAAAACATCGAAATTTAATGGTTTTTATCCCTTTTTTAAAATTTTCATCTTCACTTTAAATATTCATTCATGTGATTATTTGATTTTCTATCTCGCTCCCAATTACTATAACGCCAAAAACCGACGGTTACTATTTTGTTATCATAATCGTTTCAAAATGGGGAATACCAATTTATTTTCGATAAATGTCGATAACGCCAACAGGAATCCTACATAGCCGTTCTTATTTCAAAGGAAATAGGACCGAATATAAATAAAACAAGTAAGGAAGTTATAATTTCGGGTGTAACCGAGTATTTTATACTCTCGCAACTTGCAAGGATCAAAGCCCGAGAAATTACTTCAGGTGTTGGCAAAATTTTATATTAAAGGAAGTATTGATCCGATCAGACCCATTTTTGACACAGAGACATACTATTATCGAGAGTTTTATTTATTTATTTTATTATATGAATTTAAATTATATAGCTTACACATTGACCGATATTTTCATCGTTGTTCAATCATTGTTGCTTGATTTGCATAGTGGAAAGTGAAAGAATCAGATGGAATTTAAAATGGTGTTATATGGGAAATAGACGTAGTTAATTCGATTTCGCCCATTTTCAGTTGGTTGAAATCGGTTAAGCAGATCCCAAGATATGGGTTTTCAGCCAAAAGTGGGCGGTGCCATGCCATCGACGTTTGTTTAGTCTGTCACACTAGGTGTGGCCCTTAATAGACTGATCGAAGCTTTTTTTAAATTAACAAAATGGTGGTCTCAGGAAATTTTTTTCTAGATTTTCGAGAAAAATCCCAACAATTAGTTTTTTTATGTTTTTAAAAATATGGCTGTATAAATTTCATTGACATCCACTGAGCGGTTTTCGAGCTACATACAGTGGCTACGAGTTCAAATTCGTATGTAGTTGTGAGAAAAACGCAATTGAAGTTTGACACTCAATGTACGGTCACTTTCAGCTACTGTTAGCTATGTACTTGAACCCTTTGCTAATTATCGAATAACTCAAAAAGTATTTTTCGGGTTTATTTTAAATTTTCAGAGAATATTTCTAAGATATTATTTTTTAAGAAAATGCAAAAAAATTATTTTTTTAAAATCCTGATTACCTCTAACCCCTTATGAAAGTACGTCGAGTTTGTATTGTTTCTTTTTTTGAAAAATGTAAGGGTGATAACTTTTCATGGTGATACCTAGCAAAACTATGTGATGCCACGCCCTAATTGTACACATGTATTTGTTGTGCTACTTAAACTAATTGAAATTATGGTTCTATTTTATATGGCGATATGCATTTATATGTAAGTCCTACTGAAAGATATAAATACAAATCCCAGAAATACGCTGATTAAAAATCCATTGATGTTTTCAATAACATTGATACGTATTAGGCTGCAGATCAAGGCCATTATGGACACGGAGTCACACTGTATGTTATTACAGACCAAGTTTGGGATATTTTCTCCCTAACAGAGAATAATAGAACAGATGCAAGTAGTAACGATAGTGAAATCCATGTTTTTGTTGTTGTTGTAACGGCTTAAGCTAGTTGTCATCGAAGTCATCTAACGGAAGGTCTAGGAGTCAAGCCAAGTATAGAGGAGTCTATTCTCTTTCTACGAAAACATCTTAGTCTTCTTAGTAGAACCTGCTTGGAGAGGAGTTCAATGTGTTCTTTACCTGGAAGCATGTACGCCTTACTATTCAGGTGTTCAACGGGAGACATCCTGTTATCGTACGAAGTTAAGTGCTCTGGCACGTCTGTAGCTTCTGCATCTGCGTTTCAGTACATCCCGGCAGGTGCTGCGTAATTAATGACCGGCTAGCCGATTGCCTTGTACGTTGCTAATAACGTTTCTTGGTTTTTGCCCCAGGTGCTGTCGGCTAACGATTTGAGGATTTTCTTGCAACTCTGGACTTTGGCAATAATCGTGGTTATATTCGGAGTGAAGGTTGTCGAGTGTAACTGTTTGATTTGATAAGTTTTATGTTTGAAGTCCAGCTGTTGAACGATGGTTAATGTGTGACACACATAATATCAGACTTTAATTGGATAGGTTGACGCGATCTCGACCCAAACCGATCAGCTGTTTTAAGTGTTTCTTGTCAGTCATCTTCAGGAGAAAGGAGAGGAAAAATTATTTACGGGCGATCTGAGTTTGGAAAGAAGAAAGGGAGAGACGTAGTTGAATTTTTAAGGGTTAAAATGGTTTATTTCGATTTACGACAAAACTACGAGTCCTATAGAATTAACACCTTTTTCACATAACCTCAAAATTTATGTGAAAAATTTAAACATCCAAGTTTTTTGGTTTTTTATTTTTATCTTGCAGAAAAAAATTCATTCACGAAATTTGGTGTACATTTACCTTCTTATGTCCCAAGCGCAGTGCACTTTCTTTTATTTAAGATTTTAAATAGGAAATCTTATTTCTAATTGAAATAGAAAAAAAAACCTAATTTTTACATTCAATTCTCATGTCAACTTTTCATTTTTGTTTAAATCAGTGGGCTTTATATTTGTTGAAATCTCTACTCTCTGGTGGTATAAAAAATATACACAATATTTTTTTTTTACATATGCAAATTAATTCAAGTCCAATCTTTCTCTTTCATTTTAAATTTGTTTGCACAAATTTAAGCAATGCTGTTAATTACATGAAACAGTGCTCCTCAAAAATGTAAAATCAGCTATGTTGTTCAAGTTTTCAAGAATACTGAGATCATTTGCCATAAGCAATACAAAATCGTGTTATAATTATAGATGTTGCCTCCTTAAACCTTGTTTGGAGGGTAAAAAAAAAACGGAAGTTCCAGATTTCGCTTTACAGGACACAAGTTCAATAAGCCAGAAAAAATTGCGCGATAGTCATTCTGGTTTCACAAGTCAACTGGAGCTCTTTTTTGCTGTATGGATGGTGGTTTGACTTGAGGTAGTCTATAAAAGTGTTGATAGCTTGACTGTGAATGTATGAAGTTGGTCGCTTAAGTATGGAATATCGTCGTGGAATTGCAAGAATGACCTTAGCGTTTGGCTCCAAACAGGTAACTGCAGACATGATTTCTATGGAAAAGATAAGTTTGTTGTACCTGAAATGGTAGTTAGCAGACTTCTTGGTGTTGGTGGTTTCTAAGAAACAATAATAGATATCCTGTTGTTGTTTATTTTTCTGTTACTTCCTGCTGCTTCCAGACGGTTTATTGATTTGACGTAGTTTATGACCGGTCGGCCTATCGCCTAATTTCACAAGTGCCGATTGAGGGCTTTTGCTTTCTTGATAAGTTGTGCGTAGTATTTGGATTTTTGCTCAGCTGTCGGACGTGTCTATACGCCTTTTCCACTGAAATGGACGTTCGAAAACGCTTGACAAATCTTTAATCAGAATTATGGGTCCCATAGTTCGCCCAATATTACCATCACTAGTGGGGAGATGATAAATATGTTAATCTTGCGACCTATGCTAACCATCGCATCAGACCATCTAGACGTACACAGATTCCACAAGATGATTATGTTTGCTATTGATTGTTTCATTCCTGCTGGTAGAATTGTAGATGTCCGCCTCAACAAACGCTATATTAACATACGCGGACGAAACTTGAAGTTTCTTGTGACTGCTACATTTCTTTAGTATATTTTTTTCATAAGAAAATATTTAACCCGCTGAACTGGTAATTACAGCTAATTTATCGGAATTCTACAGAATTTTGCCGCTACAACAACAACCACTAAGTGACTTGAATATGTAATATGTGCAAAGTGTGTTAAATATATTTTGAAAAAATATACATTAATTATTAAAAAAATTCACTTTCCGCTCACGGATTTGTAATCTACGCGTAAAAATAAGTCGATTTAAAAAAAAATAAATTTTTTTTGAGGCCTCCTTAGTTGGGGACCTAAACTATACATTTATCTAAAATTTGATAATATACTTAAGTATGTGAATTATTACTACATTGGTATCAAACTGAAGGAGTTTTAAAAAAATTTCTGTTCCAACAATGTTTCACATAGAAGTACAATAGGTATTTTAAATATATTGAGCAGTTTAATTGAATTAGATGAAAGGTTTTAATAAAAATCAAATGTGGAGATATTTAGACTTAAAGTCTACCAAATGTCCTGTTTTACGCAATGAAAAAATTATTGGCATGCCCTTAGATATAAAGAGGTTGCCAAATCTCCCGAAATCGGTACTGTTTATCGATGAAAGTGGATGGAACGGTAGAACATACATATAGGTACGTTATCAAGTTAGTTTATTGTTTCGAAGCGGTGGACGTGGATGAATATTGTTTTAATTATAATTCAAGACAATTTTCAAAGCTAAGGAAATGTTGAAAATTTAAATTTTTAATGGGCATCAAATACAGAAAATTTATTCCGATTTTATTAAAGTTATGCCTATTCTGGAAAGTGCATCTTGAAAAAAATTTGGGTTGATAATGGAAATTTTATATAGGGTAACCAATAAAGCACCATGGTGCTTAACTAAATCTGAAGTCATTGTGTAAAATATACTGACAAACTTCCAGACCCTTGAAACAAATATGAGTATCAGTTTGAACTCTCTCCGAACTGGATAATTTTTCGGATAATTTATGAGGTGAGAAACAAGAAGAGCGGTTCCACCAGGTTGTCATCTTACGAAAACAAGTTTTTAATTCATATCACTAAAAAATATATTCTAAATGGTTGAAATCTTTGAAAAATGTATTTTTGAATCATAAAAACAAAACAAAACGCCTGATTTTGATACTATGAATTAAAACACTAACTAATTGTTGTTTTTGGGTTATCGATGCAATCTTAGATAAGGTTTGTATCCTAACTGTTAGCTATCAGGAATAAAAATGCAAGGCACTCTCACAAAGAGCGAATGACAAAGAGACGAAAAACTAGCAGAAATTATCAAGTAAATATAAAAAATTTTAAAAATCACATCATATCAGCACCTTAAAATTAATTAATATAATTTTTATTTTCACTTGTCTCGCTTGTTTACACATGTGTGTTAACAGCTGTTTCTTCATATGGCAGGAGCTATGCTAGCAGAGACTAGCAGCTCTCTCAGCTTGTTACGCTCTCAATTTTTGTGTTCCCTTCTGCTAGTTCTTTGGGTTAAGAAACGCATTTCTATTGATAGTTAGCAGTTAAGAAACAAACTTATTGCAAATAGAATAGTTGGCATATTTACCTTCTATAGGTTGCTTGACAAAGGAGGTTGCGTATACGTCATGGTATCTTGACTCAAAACGAAATAACAAGCTGATATGGCGTTCAGTTTATTACACAACGAATGAAACCACTGCAAGGGAACAACTTCTTTCAAAAGCATTCCTTGCTGCTTTGTGTTGCTTAACAAACAAGCTAGTAAAAATATTTAGCGTAAAACTTAATTTTAGTTGTGCTACCCAACTTCATTCTTTCCAAACCGCTTTAACTAGGTCTGCCAGCTGCTTAGGCAGCGCTCGACGAATGCTTGGCGTTCATCGATAGACGAACCTATAGCAACCGCGACGAATGCAGATAACGAAATTGATATTATAGAAGAGGCAAAGGCTGCAATGCGACCTCCCGCCGCACCCATCAAACCTAAACGAACATCAACATCAAACACTTCCAATAAAACCAATGAGAGTTCTACGCTATTCTACGCCGCCAGCCCATGGTTGCACTCTCATACGAACACATTCCGAATAGAATATGCTGCGTCAACGGGTTTAACCAGTCATGCAGACGACAGCACACTTGACTTACCGCAATAACAATAAACAAAGGAACGACCGCAAATAGTCGGTTCAGAGCGTTTGAGTGTGTCACCTCGCGTAACGGCAACGGCGATCAAATAATATTTTGGTTATATCTTTTAACGACTCGTATGTTTACGGAGAGTATGTGCTGAGGAATATCCAAAGAAACAAGACGATCAGTATCACATTCCCACAGAGGGATTGAGTAAGAACTGTTGACGTAGAGTAAATATACATACATATTTTTAAACAGTTTTAAGTCAGTATTTATGAAGGAGACGAAAATAATCAAAACAGAAAGCAAAACAAACAATAAAATTTTCTGTAGCAACGAACCGTTCGAATCTGCTCGCCCAAAAATGCTGGACACTATCGTTTACATACCTACAATATTGGCGTACGTTTTCATTCTTCTGCTCGTGATCATCCTTTGCTTCATTATGGTCTACGTCAGCCACAGAATCTACGTGTGCATCTACGACAATCTTCCGGTGGCGCATGCGGCTATTTCCACCATAATGAGCATGGAATACAAGGACAATCTGCCCAGTAAAAGTAACAGCGGCATCGTCTTGCGATCGAACGAAGGTCTGTCCGATCGAAAGGCGAAAACAGGTTAATTGCATTAAATAGTCGACTTGTTGCAGCGCTTTAGCATTGCGGCGCCAGCTTGTAGCCCTCAGCACTCTGTGCGGTCAACCATACCCAATCGTAGACATAAGATTGCAAGGTGTTGGGGGCTTTAGTTGCTTGGTTGATGGTGGAGTTCGGCGCTAAAAATGTTAAAGCTTAAATAGTTTAGTTGCTTGTTTTTCATATTGCTATTTTTCTTTTGTGCCGCTTCGACCGATGTGATTGATCTACCTTTTGGATTGACATTTTTTGCAATCTTTCGGTTAAAAATACAGCGCTGAGAATTATCGTCACTTTAGCACCGTGCTACCTAGCCTATGTACCATTGGACACTGATAAACACAACAAGTCTACGGATGATTTTGAATTAAGCGCGGACTATCAAGAACAGAAAATGATTAAATATTATGATCGCTTGTCACAAATACCAATGACAGATCACATGTCGTCTTGCATCAGCGAGCGCCAGCTATACCCCAGTTCACGCAGAGTAGCAAGTCGCAAAGCATCGTCAAGAATTGCGGCAACATCAAGAGCCAATGCGCCCATAAAAACTGTGGCCACTTCCACCACCAGGTTAATTCAACTCACCGATGCCACAAATAATTTCGGAGAGGTTGCTGCGTCTAGCCTATCCGCTCCTACTGTGCGTCCGTCGGTCACCTTCGCGAATGCCATGAATGCGCTCGGAAACATCAAAATCAATCCGCCAGAAGATCCAATTTAAAGCGTTTGACTGCTTTGCGCGAAGAAATTCAAAAATACACAAATTACTTACAGACATGCGGACTAATACTGTGAATTAATACTGCTCGCTTACAGCAACGCTGTGTTTACGAGGTTTAGGGTATAATGCAGTTGAAAACTCGTTTATATTATTTCTAGAGCGAGGCATTTCGAAGCAATATGACCACTTAAAGCTTCATACAAATTAACCACATGTTTCACACACACACATATGCATAGGTATATGTGTACTGAAATATAAATAATATTGTATATATTTAAGTGCAAATGCACTCATGCATATTTATAAGTACGACTAATGCATGAAACATTTAATTGTAATTTACAGTTTAGATTTTACTCCACGAACACGAAATATTTCTCTTCAAAGTCCAAGAGACATAATCATGTCAGAAATAATTTATATGAACTTTATTAATTACACCTACAAATCCTTATGTATAACGGAACAATTTATTGAAATAGCTTAAGTCGAGATAAGCTAAGGTTGGCATTTTGAGTTATCCAGGGAAACTTATTCGAGACTCATCTTAAGGTTTTATCTAAAAATAATTCCTTAGCATTAGAAGCACAAAATTTTGAGAATGAGAGATAAAAGTTTAGTTCACAGGTCTACTAGAAATTAAAAACCTATATGAACTTGACTTAAGTTAGGTTAATATTTTCCCATTATATTGTATGTAACTGAACTTTGAAGCGATTGATGGCACCTATATACAATATTAGTATAAGTTTACAAAGAAATCTCCGATTTAATATGAAACTGTTGTATGAAACAAATGTATGACAAATCTTAGAAAGGTGGTAAATTTCGCTTTTAAAACGCTATGTATATAACAGTTATGTTATCAAAATATTTGTAGAGTTAAGCACTAATATTACCTTTGTGTACAAGCAATTATCCAGTCCCATGGCATATGTCTTAGCTTAACTGAGCGGTATGTATTTTAAAATCGAGGTTTACACAAAAATTGTGATAGTACTTATATAAGTACAAACTTATACATATTTAATTAAAAATATTCATAAAATTAATAAATAAAAACTCAATAACATAAGTTGTAATTACTTCCGTTGAATAGCTTGACATGAAATTTTAAAATTATGTAGATATTCGAAGCAAGTAGTCGTTATGCATGGTATTTAGAAATACATTTAGTAAACTAAGTTTAATAAATCCTAATTATTATCTATTTATACAAACAAATCTTTGTTTAATATACAGAAGTATCAGAAGCGGATCCAGAATTTCTCTCAGGGAACCCCTCATCATATATATCTTTATACTTTTGTAACATAAGTTTTTTTCACCTAACGACTGTTTGTATCAACTAAAACTAATCGAGACAGACATAGGTTGATATATATAAATGATCATTATGACGACAACAGTTGGAGTCCGGATGTCTGTCTGTCCGTACCTCCGTCTGTCTGTGCCACTTTAACTTGAGAAAAAACAAGAAAAACGTTAACTTCGGTTGCACCAAAGCTATAATATCCTTCACAAATGCAAAGGTTCCTTACAAGAACTTAATTCCGATATAATTTCGTGAAGATACCTCGTCAAATAAAAAAGTTTTCCATGCAAGCACTTTATTCCGATTGTTCAGTTAATATGGCAGCTATAAGCTATAATGATCCAATCTGAACAATTTCTTCGAAGATTGCATTATTCCCTTAATGAAGACGTCAAATAAAACAGTTTTCCATACAAGCACTTGATTTCGATCGTTCAGTTTGTGTGACAGCTATATGATATAGTGGTCCAATATCCACCGTTTCGACAAATAAGCAGCTTCTTATTTTACATTTATGTATATATTTTATAGGGTCTTCGGCGTTTCCTTCTGTGTGTTACAAACTTCGTTGCAAACTTAATTTACCCTGTTCAGAGTATAATTAAGATATCGTCATGAAACTTTGTCCACATGTTTTTTGGTCGAATTCGGAAGACGAGTTCGTAGATGGGCGTAGTCGGAGTACGGCCACACCCACAAAACGCCTTAATTGAAAACATATAAATTTCCATAACTAAGCTGCAAATTATGCAAATTAAAAAAAATAAAAACAAGGGGCAAAAGTGCACAGTGGTCGATCTTGTATGGAATCAGCGGCCAAAAATTCTTCCACAAAGTGAAGTTTTTGTCTTAGCTTTATATAATATAATGTAATGTAATGACAAATAATATTACCACTAATCAAACTGTCCAAACTCCTCTGTCACTAGCCACTCCGCCTCCGGACCATTGAAAAATATTTGGTATAAAACACAAAACCTTTTGTTTTGCTCTTGACTAGTTTATTTATTAATTAAAGTAACAAAATTTAGGAGGAATAATGGAAATGATAACGAATTTGAATTTATTTAAAATGGTTTAAGTTGATAAATGAAAAAGAAGAAAGTTCTAATATTACTCAAGTAACTGTAGAACGGATTTTAATAGAATCGAGTTTTTTTGCAAGGTAATTTTCTTTGACCATTTTCTTAACAGTATATTCGGAATCAACAGATTAAAATCTATGTTTTAGGAAGTCATATACTTTTTTAGCTTTATCAGCGAATAAACCCTTTTCTAAACACCACATATAAAATATATCATTGCGTGAAAGTTCACATTGATAGGATGTACGTATGTTACCTGTATATATGGACATATGTAGTTAAGAATAACACAAACGTTTGATGAAATATTGCAAATGATAATATTAAAACGAAAGCACAAATAAACATGATGAACAAAACGCAAACAATTAATACACAAAAACAAAATATGTCAGACTATACATGTGTATACAAGCACGTACATATATAAGCAAGATGGCACAAAACTGCTTGGTAGAAACACAAAGAAAACATTAACTAATATTTAATAAAAATGTTTCATTTGAGGGTAAGACTTTAACTAAAACACACCACTCGACAGGTCCCTGGTAAAACAATAATTTGAAAACAATAGGCAAACACATTAATACATAAAAAAGTACGTGTGGCACTCGGGGACTGCCGCGGTAAAGCTATTGCATAGCATTTTTTTTTATCAACTTATGCAATTATAATTATTGATTTATTTTTTATGCAGTATTATTTTTTCTTTGATATTAATTCAAGTTACACTTTTTGAGCCTGGTGACCGATAAGAAAACAAATTGTTTTCTTTTATTACATAAATGAGAAATTAATATTGTTTAAAATATTTTCATTATCGTACAATACATGTAGGTTGTTCAGGTTTATGGTTACTGTAATAAGAAACATAAGTTTAAAAACTGATATCCTCTAAATATCTGGAATAGGTATACCGCGTCAAAGGTGTTCCCATACTTTGTTGTAGATTCTTGTGGATCATGATTCATTTTTAAATTAATTTTTTCCGAAAAAAAAGTTGTCAATCGTTCTGATTTTATCAGCGAAGTTGATGTTGAAATCGCCAGCCAAGATAAGTGGAAATTTATTAGCATTGATAATCCTAATGAAATACATAATTTCAATTTCATTGTTCAAGTCAAACGAGATACTGTTCCAAAAGGTGGGGTAGCTATTTACCAAAATAAAAATAATGTTACTAATATTATGACTCCTAATATTGAATAATTTAATTGTATTATATAAATTTTTATTAAATTCTATATTTTTATTTGCCATTAAACATTTTTTGTCCAAAACATTATTATGTTTGAATCACCCTTCTGTTCAATTGATTTGTTCCGCTTGAGCTATGCGAAAATACGTCTACAAGTCTGCAAACATTTTGCGCATACTTTGTGTTCGTGTTTCGTGTGATTTATTTCCGGAATTTCTTGATTCTACTACTAAAATGTATGTATAGAGAGTACTCACTAATTTTTTTTTTTCATTTCAACACTTTCTTTATTAGTAAATGCACTTGGTTTATTCATATTTAAAACACTTCATACATAAATTTTATGCGTCTTTTCGCGACGATTGCTAAAGCTAAAAATCATAAATTGAACAACTTTCTGACGTTCCTTCTGGAAGGGAAAAGTGTCAACCCCGCAAACACAGAAAAAAGTGACAAAAATGGCAATATAGCTCTTGTCGATTTAAATATGTTGTATTACTTCTAAAATCTTTTTCCATGACTTGCAAAATCTGCGTCGATATATAATAAATGCATGCCCATACATAAACATTTTGCATGAATTAATTAGTGTACATATTTACATACATATGTTGCATGTAGACATTATGCGTGTTAGGTTTATTTCCGTTACGGAAATTCTTAGTTTATTCCTCGTGCTCAAAGCCCGCGATAGAACCTATGCAAATCATTTAGTTATATAGTCTATACCTTTATTTTCAATATTCATTATACAATACTTTAACTCAATTAAACGCGATTTAATATTAACATTTAATTTTCTTATGATGGCAAAATTTAAAGCTCCGTTCACTGCACACTCCGCTGGGTTTTACTGTCTCTTTTCTCTATTTACATTTTAGAACGTACGACCAGGATAGACCAAAAATTAATTTATCGTTTTTTTATTGTTCTTTTAAGAATATTATATTGTTCTTTTATGATACTTACAGTGGCAAATTTCGGACACTTAATAGGTTTAATAGGCTTTATAGGACTCAGTGTCAAAATTGGACAACGGACGTGGCACCGCCAACATTTAGATAAAATCGCATATCTCCAAAAATGGGCGAAATCGGAATGAAACCACAACTATTTCCCATATAAAAAACCTTTTTTAGTTTCCAGTAAACAAATCAAGCACCAATGAATGTATCGGGATACAAATTTGCACGAATATTGCTTTTAAGGTATGCCATCTCATGTCTAAATATTGTCAAAATTGGACCATAACTATTCAAGCCCCCAGATATCGAAATTAGAAGAGAATAATTTCCTGATAATATTATTATATAATATTTAACTTAGCCCCAAAAATTATTTTTTTAGTTAATTTTCATTTATATTTAGGAATTTTTAAATTCCGAAATATTCAATGGAATATGGAAATATGGAGAAATACATACGTACAGTAGAGCTTTTGATAGGAGCAAGCATGGAATTAAGAGAAAATTTCTTTTCATAGTTTATTATTTAATGATATTTTTGTTACACTCTTTTTTTATATTTATGTATATTATTATAACTAATTTTGATTAAGAGTTTTGAATTTATAATGAAATAAAAATTATAGTATCTACTGTGCAAAAGAATTTTCACTTGTGATAGATTTACAGTCATAACTGACAAATTGCAGCTATAATGGATTTATGGTCAGCAATGACTCAGAAAAATACATGCGAATGAGCAGTATAGATATATATTGAATAAATTTCAAATACCCATGTATTAAAGAGAGATTCAAACTAACACACATACATTTGTTTACATCAGTTTTTGCACAAGGCTTTTAAGAAAATGATAGAAATTTCGTTCTGCGCGCTGACAAAATTTTTTCAGCTGTGACTGTTATACCTATGACCACTGTTCTTGTAGGGAAGTTATCATATGAAAATGTATTTATGTTTATGTGTTTCTTTATGTATGTATGTATGCCTCTTAAATATATTTGAACATACATATTTAAGATTAGCGGACTATATTTGTTCGTACATGTTTCTTATCTTATCCTATTGGATATTCTTAGTATGTAGAATAATAAAAACTAAATGTATTGCTTCTCACTGTCTAAGTGGGGCTCTTTGGTACCAACGCACATGTTCATTTTTAAACAATTATAGCAATTAGCGCATATCTGGGGTTTTCGAAATATTAGCTAATAATCATTTGTTTCCATTTCTTATCACATTTTCACGCATTCATTCCTTCGAGTCATCGTCCGTAGATAACCATATAAATCCATTAATAATCTTATCTACTTATATTTATATACCACCCATGTGGCCGACAGCTATCGGAATATTAATGGCGTGATATTCATTAAAGATACAGAGCACGCCACAACTTGAGAACACTTTGTGAATTTCAATAGGCGCTCATTCCGCAATATTTTTATTTATATACTCGCTAATAAATTTACAATCTGAACAATTAGTATAAAAGTATAAATTTATTAATAAATATACACATATGTATGTATGTAGGTTAGTATTTATACAATTACTAATTTAAGGCGATTGTAAAATTAAAAATAAATTATCAAAACATTTATTTTTTAAACACAAAAAAAAAAGTACGGTTTATATTGTGTTTTTTGAAAACATGTAAATGTTTTGAATTATTAAATTATTTTGTTATATTGAGGTTTAAGAGTCAATTTTGAAAATATTAATTATAAAAGTTATTAAATGGTCATGTTCGTGTAAGCTATTGATAAAAATTTGTATTAAAGATATTTCCAGAATATTTCAGTTCCAAATAAAATTTTAATTTTTCAAAAAAATGTATGTATATACATACATAGCAACTCTAACGTCTGATGCCATTTCTAACGAATGTCATATTTAAATAAGTCAAATCCGATAATCCGCAGTGGGCGCGTATTGTTTGAAAAATCAAAATCGTTTTTTACATATTTTCTAAATAATATTGAGTGCGTTTTAAAAGTGTTAGAACCATAAATTGTGAAAAAAATCGCGTTCTAAAATTGGAAAGGACGAAGAAAAAAGATACAGTGGGTAATTATGACTATTTTAATAATTTACGTTTTATTGAATCAAATTACGCCCTTCAATTCCTACATGCCGATCTTAAACTTACTAAATAATTTAATATTAAGTACATATTAAGTTAATAATTAACTTATCGCCCAAACCATGGCATTCTTGAACACTTATTTAGATACATAATAGAAAAAGACGGGCTTCACGACTATCCTTACCAATAAGAATTTAAATATCGATTGCGGTAATGTTGAATCCGACGATACATCCGATTTAGAAGGGACACGGTTACCTCTTGCTGTGTAAGGTTCAGTTAGTTAGTTATTAATTGAAGTGGTTGAGTTTAGGAAAGATCACAAGGATACATGGGTTAATCACGTAAGCGATGATTAGGATTTTTTACATATGACCGATAGATGCGGTATAAAAGGAACCGGAAGTTCGAAAATATTTATATTAAGTATATGGGGGCTAATGGAAGTATTGGCCTGATTTTACCCATTTTTGCCATAAGTTATAGTGCGATTTCGAAAATTAAAGTAAGATGAAATACTTTGAGGACACTATTTGTGCAAAGTTTTATTCTGTTAACTTTATGGATGTTTGATTTATATACTGTAAAGTGAAAGAATCAGACGGAATTTAAAAGTTTGTTACATGGGAATTAGGCGTGGTTGCCTTCCGATTTCACCCAAGTCTAATAGGAATGTTTGGGTAAAATCACACACCAAATTTGGTTGAAATCGGTCGAGTAGCTCCTGAGATATAGGATTTCACCTAAAAGTGGACGGTGCCACTCCCCTTATCTAATTTTCACACCACATCCTAAAAAGCCCTTCTCTACCATCTTGGTTGTAAAATTTAATACTTGTGGCTCATTTATTCATTGATTTATTGTGCTTTAGTAGTTTTCAACACAACCGTTATATGGAGAGTTGGCGTGGTTACTATCCGATTTTGCCCATTTGCCAGAGTTTGAAGAGGTGATGAAAAAACAGTCACCGTCATTTCAACTCGTCTCGTCATCCGCATCATTTATATATAAATAACCCTAGATATAGTTTTGGGTAATACAAACAACCGTTAGGTGAACAAAACTACAATACTCTGTACATGTTGCAAGACTATAAAAATAATGGAGGTGATGTCCCAAAGATATTTCCAAATCTAAATGGGCAAACCATTTTAATATCAACAAATGATATCCAACAAGTAAGGAAGGGCTCTGCTGGGGTGTAACCGAACATTTCCTACTCTTGCTACTTGCAAGAATCAAAGCTCGGGAAATTCCTCCTCGTGCTGGCACAACTTTATATTAAACAAGTAAGGAAGGGCTAAGTTCGGATGTAACCGAACATTTTATACTCTCGCAAAGTCAAATGGTATACTCGTTTGAGATTTCTTTGTGGATTGGCTGATATTTTCGGTAGAAGGTCAACTATAGGCACTGGACTTTTCGTCACAAGGTGGCATACTTTAAACGTATTATTCACGCAAAGTTTACCCCGATATAATCATTGTTGCTTGATATGCATAGTGGAAAGTGAAAGAATCAGATGGAATTGAAAATAGTGTTATATGGGAAATAGGAGTGGTTGTAGTCCGATTTCGCCCATTTTCGCACTACAACATAGAAATATGAAAATAACGTTATGTACCGAATTTTGTTGAAATTGGTTAAGCAGATCTCAAGATATGGGTTTTCACCTAAAAGTGGGCTGTGCCACGCTCACTGTCTACTTTTGAACCCGGTTCCTATAAAATCATCTCATACCATCTCAGAGATAAAATTTAATGTCTCTGGCGTGTTTAGTGCTTGATTAATCGCGCTTTTAGTAGTTTTTAACAGTACCGTTATATGAAGAGTGGGCGGAGTTGCCACCCGATTTCAACTATTTTCACACCGTCAATAGAAATAATAAAAACATTTGCTTCCACAGAATTTTGTTATTATAGCATTAGCGGTTTAGGAGATATGCACATTAAACCTATAAGAGGCGGGACCACGCCCACTTTAAAAAAAAATTTTTAACTACAGATGCCCCTCCCTAATGTGATCCTGTGTACCAAATAACAGTCTTGTATCTTATTGCGGAGCTTAGTTATGGCAAGTTATTTGTTTTTGATTAATGTCGTTTTGTGGGCGTGGCAGTGGTCCGATTACGCCCATCTGCAATACCAACCGTCTTACGGTACCAAGAAACATGTCTACAAAATTTCATAAAGATATCTCAATTTTTACCCAAGTTAGAGCTTGCACGGACGGACGGACAGACGGACGGACGGACAGACGGACGGACGGACAGACAGTCACCCGGATTTCAACTCGTCTCTTCATCCTGATCATTTATATATATATAACCCTATATCTAACTCGATTAGTTTTAGGTGATACAAACAACCGTTAGGTGAACAAAACTATTATACTCTGTAGCAACAGGTTGCGAGAGTATAAAAATTGGCGAAAGAATTAAACATTCATTGATCGATGAAATCGTGAATAAATTACAATCGATCAGCAAAAATTATATTATTGTAAAAACCTCTTCAAATGAGATATACAATATGAATGTGATGTCAACTCGACCGAAGAGACTGAATTTAATATATTGTGTTGATGTGGAAAACATCAACCAGAGAACCGGAATTCTTTTCGCTAGGTATATGAGGTTTAGACCAAGGTATAGACCAATTCCATTGTAATTCAGCGCTAAGCCACTTAATTTTTAAGAGAACTTGTCCTCTTAATTTCACTAAAATATCGCATATTTTGATCAACCTAAACGGTTAAAATACAGGTGGAAAGACGGAAATCATTTAAGGTGATTAATTTTGACATTGCTCAGGAATACTCGAGAACATATTTTGAAGCAATTTTATATATAAATAACCCACTGACCAACATTCTCACAATAAAACTTGCTAGAATAACGAAAATCATTATAAGTAGTATATAGGAGTTGGGGGTAGTATGGACCCCATTTTATCAATGTTTGCCAATACCACATACAAAAAACATGCCACAGACTAATAAAATGCTCCCAGGAGTTCTTTAAGGTACCTCACATACCATCACCAATCATATGGAGTAAAGTCAGCTTTATGTTCGAAATCCTGATATTAGTTATTGGGGGCTGGGTCAAGTTTTCGCTCAATTTTATCCATTTTCAACTGAAAGATTTTCATTGAGATAACTCACATATTGGCTTATACATGCGGTATAGTGTCACCCGGAAGTTCAAAAATCTTTATATTAGGTATATTGGGGCTAAGGGAAGTATTGACCCGATTCAACCCATTTTAAACATACAGACATACTATTATCATGAAAGGATCCTCTCTGAATTTTAATTATATATCCCATATAATGACCGATATTTTCGGTAAAAAGTCAACTATATGTACTGGGGTCCACATTTAATTATTTGGGGGCTTAAACAGTTTTGGTCATAAGGTGCCATACTTTAAAGGCATTATTCGAACAAAGTTGTATCCCGATACAATAACTTTTGCTTGATTTGAATACCAGAGAGTGAGAGAATCAGATGGAATTTAAAATTGTGTTATACGGGAAGTAGGCATGGTTATAGACCGATTTTGCTCACATTGTAACATAAAAAGGTCAGAGAAATGTTACATACCGAATATGATTGAAATTGGTCTAGCTGTTCCTGAGATATGGGGTTTTCCCTAAACGTGGGCAGTGCCACGCCCCTGTCTAATTTTTGTTTTGGTTCCTATTAAGCTTAATTTTACCATCGTTTTTGCAAAATTTAACCCCTCTGACGGTTTTATTTATTGAGTTATCGCACTTTTAGGGGGCGGGGTTATCACTTGGTTTCAACTATTTTCACACTCTGTAGGAACATGTTGCAAGAGTATAAAATCATTTAGAAGAAGCTAATTACCTAGAATACAGTGACAAAATAACACGTTTATTTTTTAGATATCGTAAATAGCGAAAATAGAAAAGCAAAATAAATGATAGTTTTTTGTTTTTAAAATTCGTCGCACTGTTAGTATGACGATGCTGGTTCAATACGTCAAGGTTGTCGTACACTTGTAAGACATGTGCTTGCTCACTGTCTATTTTTATACTCTCGCAACCTGTTGCTACTGCAGATGGGCGTAATCGGACCACTGCCACGCCCACAAAACGCCATTAATCAAAAACAAATAAATTGCCATAACTAAGCTCCGCAATAAGATACAAGACTGTTATTTGGTACACAGGATCACATTAGGGAGGGGCATCTGCAGTTAAAAATTTTTTTTAAAGTGGGCGTGGTCCCGCCTCTAATAGGTTTAATGTGCATATCGCCTAAGCCGCTAATGCTATAATTTTCACTATTTTTGCTATAAAATTCACTGGAAGCAAATATTTTTAGCACTTCTATTGACGGTAGTTCAAATCGGGTGGCAACTCCGCCCACTCTTCATATAACGGTACTGTTAAAAGCGCGATAAATCAAGCACTAAACACGCCAGAGACATAAAATTTTATCTCTGGGATGGTATGAGATGATTTTATAGGATCCGCGTTCAAAATTAGACAGTAGGCGTGGCACAGCCCACTTTTAGGTGAAATCCCATATCTTGAGATTGAGATGAAAAAAATAATACGTTTAAAGTATGCCACCTTGTGATCAAAAATTGTCTAAATCGAACCAAAACTGTTCAAGCCCCTAAGTACTAAATATGTGGACCCCAGTGCCTATAGTTGACCTTCTACCGAAAATATCAGTCAATCCACAAAGAAATCTCAAACGAGTATACCATTTGACTTTGCGAGAGTATAAAATGTTCGGTTACATCCGAACTTAGCCCTTCCTTATTTGTTTGTTTTTGTTATTTTCGAAATTTCATCTTTCAGAACATTTTATCCTTTGGGCCGGTGAAAAAAGCTTGAATCCTACCGATAAATTCTAACATAACTCATTTTTTATGCCAGATGCATAACATGCTGCGTTAATAGCCAAACAAAAGTTATGGGGAGCGCAATGAACCTAAATTGATAGAGAAAAATAGAATCGAACATACTTGTACTTTTGTGCTCCATGAAATTCACTGCTCATTGCTGCAGTTCCAATTTACATCGATATTTTGAAGATAGTTCTTTATTTACTCGAACGAACGAATACAAGAAAATCTTTATTACTGTACCTGTAGGTACATATGTATAACAATAGTGTACTTTATACTCATCGCTTTTAATTAAACCAGTTTACAATTCATCCAGAAAATTTTAATATTCTTTATAACATTTCCAGAAATGTACCTATTTTGAAATAGTAATAATTATATTCCACTACTTTATTCAAACTATTTACTCCTATTATTCATCCCTAGAGAAGAATATGTTTCTATATATTATATCAGAGAAATAATAGTATCAGTCCATATTTTCATCAACAAAAGCTGCTACAAAATTCTCTTCCAAATTCTCTAACATCTGCCACCAACCTTGGTGAAAACATTTCTCTATATCATCGAATCATCGGAATATAAATCAGGCACTAATAAAGATATTGGAACAATTCTTTGGACAAATACTGCTTTGTACAATCTGCCATCTAAAACTGGTCGAAATTGGACGATAACTTTTCAAGCCCATATATATATTTTCAAGCCTTATTACAGTACTCCTCTGATGAATGTTGGGACTTTTGGGAATTAGGTTGATTTTATTATAAATATACCGGACAGAAGGCAACATGAAGTAAATTAAACGAGTCTATGACTTACGGCCTCTAGATTGACCTAAGATTTATAGGCAGTAGTTCACACGTGCCGTAAATGGCATCACTATAGCAATCAATCGCTTTGAAGCTTTAAGTAATAATTAACTGTGCGTCAATAAATTCCTCAGAGAAGAAGTTCCTGTTATTATCGTCAAAACAAAATAATGGACTAGGAAGGAATTGGTCTTGACGGACTTAGATTTTGTTGGTAAAATATCTACTAGCAGCGGGATTGATCGGCCATTAATTACGCAACCCCAATATGGTCGTCTTGATGCAGCAGGACGCAGCTGAGAAGGGTACAGATAAGTAAGAACACCGCACTCCAGACTATCATACGATCAGAGTGATCCTCTGCCGTACAACACGCACCATTTCTCGAAATTACTTCTGGAATGCTTTCTGCCGCTACAACAAAAACAACAACATAGTGACCCTCGAGCATCTTCGTTCTGGATATACCTTTCCAGAATAGTCCCCGACATACTAAACATATGTCCTGCGTGCAAAGAGTCCCCGCATGACACTAAACACCTTTTTGGATGTCCCGCTAAACCCACTCACTTAACACGCCTCTTCCATTGGTCCATTCGAATCAGCTCATTTCCTGGATCTATCGCTACTAATTTTCGACAGGCACTGAATGTCATTCACAGTGGAGCTATTAAAACCATCATTAATTCCTTCCCAGTAGATGGAGTACTTGGAGTCCAAACACCGCCTATTGCAGAAAAAGAACCCGAGTTGCCGCATGAAACTTCGTTTTGAGTATTGAAGCAGGTTAAACTCTTACTTTCCAGAATAGACCCTGACATACAAAATGTATGTCCTCCATGCAATGAGTCTCCGCATGCCACTAATTACGGGTGCGTTCGAGCTACATAATAATTGCAGCAGAACAGCTACTGTGTTGCATATTTGCTGATACTCTGCTGATGTGCAGACAAAATTTTGTGTTGCCGATTATTTGTATAAATTGCGTGCAAAAAGTGACAGTAGAACGTGATGCTGTTGCAAGTGTTGCCAAAAATTCACGCAGAACGTGATACTTTGACAAATTCGCAACACTGCTGTCGTAATTGCCATCTCGATATAGTCCTAACCCGTCAAAACAGCTCGTTTCCTGGGCCTACTGTTAAGTGATTTCGATGAGTTAACTTATTGCTTTGTCCAAATAGTCTGGATAATCGTTACCACTTATCGCTAAATAATCTGGTTGACAATTAATTGTTGTACTTTTCTCCCAAACAGGGGTTAGGTACTTACTACAACAATAACATTTATCTCACTAAAGTTTTATGTCAAATAACACCGCTATAACTGTCGGTGATGATGTTTTTTTGAGGAAGTTACGGACCTGATGAAGCAATTACTATGTGACAGTTTATTTTATAAACAAGTCAATTATTGCTAGGAGTAAGCTCTTTTGCTTAAATATTAAAACGTATATCAGATTACATAAAGTTTTGCCAGTTTGTTGACTCTTGAGACACTTGAGAGAAGTTCCAGTAGTGAAGTATATTAAGTACCTTTCCGTTTCTTCATGCCATTATAAAATTAAAAATTATAGTACGAATTAAAATGTGAATTTAAAAACAATTCTTTAATAGGTCTTAATAGGCAAAGTTTTGCTGCTGGCAAATTCTTTGTTGAATACAGAAGAAATGCATTTGAGCACGAAGCAGATGAAGTAGATTCCGGACATTTTTTCGTTTGACAAAAGCGCAGTTGCGGCATATTTGATATATCATCAATCCGTTGGATCACTAAAAATATTAAAGTAAGATTTAAGATTTTGTTTAAATTTTATACAATATTTGCTATAATTACCCAGAAAATGATTTTGCATGCTGAGACGTTAGTTCATCCTCTTGGTTCCCTAAAGCTTTCTTGACATACTGCAAATAAAAATGAGACGGAAAATATTTAAGGAAACAAATCGAAATTTCTAATTTTATTGACGGCAAATTCATTATTTAACAAACTTACCATTGGGTTGAGTAAAATGTCCTCTTCCATTTTGTTAATTTGCCTTATTAAGTCCATCGTTTGTGCCATATCTTTCTGAATTTTAAGGAACATTTCGGGAGAATTATATTTTTCAGGATCATCTTTAAAAACAACCATGCCATCCTTTTTATTTATAGTTGCATAAATTTCGCCAGATTTTATCTTAGGAAAGAAACAACAAACATTTCATAGAAGATGTGTTACTATGTTCAATGTGCAAAAAAACCAACCATATTGAAAATATATTTTTCCGCTTCGGCCGCATCTGCCAGCTGAGCTCTACTAGCGACATCCGAAAGAGAGAGCGTCAGAAACGTTTTGGTTAACCGCTGTATGTTTTTCTTATAAAGCGAAGTTACAACCTGCAACACATTTCAACTTCTAAATATGTATAAATATGTAATTAGTCGTTATCTAATACCTGTTTTACTAAACCCATATTTTTATCCCGAATAAAAGTTTCGCTAGATTTATTCATAATAATTCGTAGTTCGTCGCTGGATGATGTCACGTAAGCAGTTGCCAAGTCATGATAAGACTGCGCGAGAGGCTTCATAAATCGCGAAATCACTGGCGCAGACGATTTCGGTATTGGTAAAACCTAAATAACAAAACATAAATTATATTTAAAAAATAGTTAATTACGAACGTTATGGAAGCGTCTACCTTTCCGTGTAGAATTAGTGAAACCAGCACGAATTTTTTATAGGCTTCTAACATTATGTGTGACATGGCCGCAGCGGGAGTGGATATACACACTTCGAAGAAATACAAGGCCCGATCGAAGTTTTTAACCGCAGTATATATCATACCACCATAGTAATAGTAGAGAAGAAAATATTTGGCATCATTATTGGTATCCTAATAGCAAATTAGAAATTAATGTTGATAAATGCAATGTATTCATAAAATAAAATGATAATTTAATTGACTATTACTCACAGCCGAGCTTTGCCCTCGAATTTCAGATGCCGTAGATATGGTGGTTATATCAACATCTAGAAAGCTCAGTGCGGTTTTGAAACACTTCGCTTTCAAGCTCAGCTGGCAGAGATCAGAGTGAATGCTGGTTTGCTGTGAGTCACAAAGACGAATTTTTTCGATGGCTTGTGCAACGACTTTAATTCCCTGAATGCAGTGTGGATGATCAACGATAAGGCTCGTAAACATGTGACATAGATCGTAGTCTATAATATGTATTAGAAATGATTTGCAATTACGTATAAACGTTACAATATAAGTTTTAAACTTTCAACACTTACAAGTATACGTAGCATACCGCACTTGCTCACCGTTGCACTGACTGATAAATTCTTTATAAAGGTTGAACAATTGTGGTAGATCAGCATTCACATTCTAAAAATCAAGTGTTATTTAATAAAATTAATTTATTAAATATTAAAATATTTGTTAACTAACCGCAGCGCCATTGAATTTGACTAGCAAAACATACAGCACTCCCAGGGAATGTTGTTGAAAATCTAACGTCTCCAGGACATTATCTAGCAAATCCCAATAACGTGAGAGTATTTCGACAGATTCATTTAATTGTTCCACCATAATGCGGAAATTTCCTATTTGAAGACATTACAATCAATGCGCAAACTAATTAGAAAAACATTTGTAATAAACTTATTTTGCCGGTTTCTAATGCTACATTTCTGAACGGTGCATGGTCTGAACCGTCTAGAGCAGTGCATTGTAACCCACCTTCGCTGCTTTTTGTCCGCACATTGTTAACATAGTTTTCTAATGCACTGGCCATCGCTTTGAATTCGGTAATTAAGGTAACGATTTAGCAAATATATAGACGATTGATTTGACTAAAAATTCATAATTTGCCAATTGCGAACAGTTTAAAATTCCGCTGTGTCGTATTGCCTTATTCTTTTCGGTGGTTGATTTTTCGCTTTTTCAATGACAGCAACCACAGTAATGTCTGGCTTGCTATATTTTGACAAAATAAAAAAGCAACTGCTAGAAAGAGATAAATATGTTACGGAAAACGTTGATGTTTGAAATGTTTATTTGACATTTGAAGTAATTTTTTTTTTGTTATAATGACTTACTATGGATTGGCAATACTGCTTTTAAAAGTTGGGTATTCCTATGGTATATGTGCGCACTCTATATGAGGTAATTCAAAAGCATTTTTTTAATCCTTTGGACTTTGTTAACAAGTGAGCAATTCTACGCATTACGACATACTTGTCTGAAAATTGAAAATTTTTTTCAACTTCGATTGTATGCACACAAGCTTTTATACTAGTAAATCGAACACAAATGTATGTCGTGTATGGCCAATTTTAATGAAAGTCAACTGTGGTATTATTTTTATTAAAGCAAAAAAAAATAATAATAACAATAAGATATTAAGTTTTAATGAAAGTTTGTGCTAATATTTTGTTGAATCTCATAGTAAATAATGCATAATATATATTTGCATAAGTAATATTTTATTTGTTGCAAGTTGTAATTGAGATATTTATGTCTTTTATTACCAAAAACTTTCAGTTTTATTAGGTCGATGCCATCTCAGAAGTGATAATATCTAAATTAAGTAAAAATGTTATATTCTAGTTAAAGTTTTAATAATCTTATGGCTTCGGGACTTTCCGCTTATTGTGAATCGTGACAGAATAGTAAAGAGTACTGAAAAAACTGTTCGTTTTTTGTTTTTAGTCCCTCTAACAAGACATTCGTAAATATTTATATTTTTATCATAAATTTTGCAAAAAAAATTTCAATAAAGACAAAAACGTAGTTTAAATGCTGAAAAGTTGCGACTGAGTAATTAAGATGTAATTGACTTTTATTCAGATTCGGCAGGAACGAGGTCAAATATTGCAAATATGGAGTCGACAATAATCTATGTTTGCAATATCTGTTTTCGGCAATATACACTAATCGAGGACTTACGAGGACATTTTATTGAATACCACAAATGCACACCAAGAGTTGCAGAAAGTTCTTCGACAGAGGGAAAATCTGTAGAATTAACTAATAAAGTTTGTCAAACTATTGAGACAGGGGGGGAAGCTCAAAAAGAGGAGTGTGTGAAACTGGAAATACGGCCAATGCCATTTAAAAACTTTCGAATTGTGTTACGTTCCAAAATGATGAAGGGGTATATAAATAATATATAAAATTATGGGTCTTCCATAGGGTCTGCCATTTTTAATATCCTCACATTTCAGTTGTCCTGTGACGAAGTCATGCCCTTATAAATTTGAAAACGAAATAAAACTTTCATTGCATACTAAATGTCATACTTGCCCAAATGCGGCTCAGAAATTCAAATGTTATGAGTGTAGTGTAGAACTGACAACTTGGAGACGTTGCACTGCACATCTGTGGAAAGCACATCAAATAGACGTGGACCTATTACAATGTCCACAATGCGAGTACAAAGCGCATGCGTCTGGTAAGGAATCTGCTTAAATGCATAAAAATAATAATTTACACATTTTCTTACAGTACTTGTTTGGCGCCACATGCGGGCCCACAAAAAGTGGCGAATGCGTGTTCTACGCTCTTTACGCGCAGTTCAGCGCAAACGCTTACAGCAAGACTTGAAAAATTGCGATGTGAACGTGGGTCAAACAGCCCCGGTGAATAAAAATAAGTATTATGCAGAGAAGACTTGTGAAATATGTAGTCGGAAATTCGTAAATGGTAAAACACTTTCAAAACACGTTAAAGCGGTGCATAACAAAATTAAACCGTTTATATGCAATGTGTGTGGCAAAAATATGGCGCGTAAAGCCAGTTTGATTGTACGTATTAATAATTCTGCTGTGCTAGTATTCACATTGATTATTATTACTGTAGATCCATATGCGCCAACATACGGGTGAAAAGCCACTACATTGTAAGGTCTGTAAATTTTCGACCAGAGATCCTAGCGTGTTACATAAGCATCAGCTGCGCCATGAGAAGGTAAGTAAAGTATAAGCAATTTAGGAATATTATAAAAGGAATTCTTATTCAAGACGGAAAAATTAAAATGCAAACACTGCGACTTCTCCTGCATTCAAACCAGCGCATATAAACGACATATGCGTTTGAACCATTCGGAGGAATATAAAAAAATCGCATGTGACTTGTGTAATTATGTTACTATAAGCTCAGAGCGTCTACAGGCCCACAAAAGTGATCATCTCAAAGGTTTAATTGTTAATCACGAAGGTTGGTTATTCTATATTTCTTTGAAAACATTCTTGGTATACATGTACATTTCTAAAATCATACCTCATATTTCAGACTCTATGGATGCCACCCGCTCCGGCACTTCGAAAAATCTCCACAAATTACGGAACAAAAATGAGGTTCCCCTTTTCAAGTCTTACGTATGTATGTTCTCCATTTTCTAAACCTTCTTTTTCAGATGTCTGCTGATTGTTTTTTGCCAATTGAAAGTATTGATTCACTGCCGCATGAGCCAGCTGTAGATACCGGTGGTGTAACCATACCCGCACCTTCGGAAGATACACAGTTTCCCACTTATTTAAATAACTGATATGCAAAGTAATTTTTTCTTTATAAACATTTCTTTATTTATTTCATTTCTTATGATATGATTTCAACTTTCAGAATAATTATTTTTAATTTTATTTAATATTTTTTTTGTAATTTACTGCACTAAGTCTGAAAAAATCTCGCTAAATATTGGTATGTTTAATTATGAACTTTATTTCTGTTTGATTATTTTCGCAGATTACTGATCAAATTTAGTGTATTTATTTTTAATAAATTGTAAGTTTAAAAATTTGGATTTAACGTTTCTTGTTTATGTTTATATTTTTATTACACTGAATTATTTCTTAACCAACTAAATTTGCTGCTGCGTTTTCAAGTACGCGCTATACATAATCTTCAATTTGAACGCTTGATTTGTTGTTTTGTTCTTTTCGTATATCTTTATTTCCTTCTAATCGCATTATTAGTTGCCCTCATGTTCATTTTGTGTTTTTTTTTCATTAAATAATGTTATATTTATGATCGTGTTCTATATGTAGACTTACATTTATTAAATATATGTATATACTTTGAGCAGTATATGTAGGTGATTTCTCCTTTATGTTGAGATTTATGTCCATCACTACTACATTGACTTCATCATACTTTGCTAAAAAATAAATTCATAGTTGGTCTCATACTTTCTTCCTTCTCATAAATATGCTTCTTATACAGTATTGATCTGAAATATTTTCTTAAACCGCGTTTTCCCCAGTAAAATATTTTATTCGCGTATCCTCAAAATAGTTCACAGAGTAACGTAAATATGTTTTTAATTTGTGATTTTATTGTCTGCGTATGTTTGTATTTGATTAAAATTTCATGTAAATATGTATGCATGCAATATGTAATTATGTATGCCTTTAAGTCTAATTTCTAATTAAGAAGAAATAAACTCCAATTCTCCAACTCAAATATACATATAAATTTGCTACTTATTTTGCTAACATTCCTCAACATATTATCTAACAGGAAAACTCGTTCACGCATTTAACTATAGTGAATTGATTTGATACCTTAACAAATAAATGCATATTTATTTGACAAACTCAATTTTTCATAAAGCACTCAACTTAAGCTATAATTTTTATTACCTTTAGGCAGTGTTTACATTTTATAAGCTTTTCGGGATTTTTTAATAATGTTGGAATAAATTATGTGTATACTAATATAATCAATCGTTATTATTAATAAGCCAATAAAAACAAAAACAACGTTCATATCCGGTATTTTAACCTCACTTTGGCATTTAATTAACTTTAAAATGCTCCTTATAGATAGACACTATCGGAGTGAGATCAGTGCTGAGAAAAGCTTATTGCACAGGAGTGTATATTCTCGACCAATATCGCCAATAGATAAAATTGTATATTTGCTAATAGATTTCATCTATAATAATTTCAATTCAAAGAAAATACATTCATTGTGTCTGTGTGGTATTAAAGCTTGATGGAAACAACTAGGGACGGAGTTAAGTATAAAATATTTAAAGTGCAAAAAGCCTAGGGTTTCAAAGACTTCACTTTGTTGAATTGCTGTTTGATGCTTAATGGAGTCTTATAAAATTAAAATATTTTTAACTCTGTTGTTTCTAATCGCCTATGCTCTATTAGATTCAGCAGCTTTGAATTGGGAGACGGCAATGTTCCTATGACAAATGTCAAATGTTACTATTTGTTAGCCCTTTATAACACCAGTTTAGTTAAGCGGAATCAACCAACGTCAGTTGAGTTGATTAGTTACCCCAATAAAAACGATACTCAAACCTTTCTTTTCCAATTGTCATGTAGAAATACAAGCAAAAACTTGTACTCTCGTTATTATTATTTGTGTAGGAAGCCATTCTGGCATTACTTGGGTTATATATAACTAAAATCAGTTTTTTAGGTATGCGTCAAAAGACCCTCACTGTACAGGAAAACAATAGCCGATTTGAAGTTATTGCTTTATATACATTTGCTATTTTAGCTAGTAATATTTTGCTGATAAATTATAAAATAACAGGACCCTAATTAATCAAAGAGTAGCATAACGTGGTGTCGCTCGTCTTTCATATTATGTGATGGACCGCAGTTGTATCTACATATGTACCTATGTACCAGAAATATGGAATAATTCAGTCCAATAAATTCGATGTGTTTTTAGTTAAAAACAAGAAAAAACGTGGACTTCGTCTGCACCAAAGTTATAATACCCTTCACAGGTGCATTTCTTATAGCATACAAAGATTTTTATCTTCATTTTGATCGGTCAGTTTATATGGCAGTTACATGCTATCGTGGTCTGATCTCAATAATTTGTTCAGAGATTATAACATTGTTGTGAAAAATAATCCATGCCAAAATGCCGATATCTTGTCAAATAAAAAAGTTTTCCATACAAGGAATTGAATTTGATCGGTCAGTTTGTATTGCAGCTATATGATATAGTGGTCCCATATCGGCCGTTCCGCCAAATGAACAGCTTATTCGTTATTGTATTTATGTAAATACTTCATAGGATTTCCGACGTTTAATTCTCGGTGTTGCAAACTTCGTGGCAAAATGAATATAGCCTGTTCAGAATACAATAAAGAATATTCCGTAGCGTTTCAAAATTAACCTCTTAAGAAGTATTAACATCAAACATATATAAGTGAGTTAGCAGTGGTTACCCATGCCAATTAATGAACACATTATGACTGATAATTGACTAAATTAAGAGTCAACCTGAAATGCCTATAAATTTCCCTTTTTTGCTGTTGTATTTTTTAAATATCATCCAGCAAGATACCATTCACAAGTCACCACCACGACATTTGTACCATATTTTAATTGATAATATTTATGGATGCTTGAGATAGTCCACTGAGAAAAGTTTTTTCGATTAAACGAAATTAGTTGTCCCAATTTTTTGTCAATTTTTCTCATGGAATAAATACGTTTTTCTTGACGTACTGATCTTTTTCGCCAAATATTGTTTATCGGCTGTATCGTGTTCGATCGAGCCTATATGGGCTTTTCAGACAGAGTCTTAATTAAGTCTTCCATATCAGCATTGCTGTTTATGATACTTTTGGGAGAGCTATTGTGATCGGATCTATTAACCAGTAATAATAATAATAATTAATGTTATTTTAACTATAACACAAAAATGTAGTACACTTGGCGAAATATTTTTCTGATTTGAAATACTCTTTTGGTTGAAAGTCGAAATTATACATAGAAAAAATATGAATTGATAATTTTTAAAATGATTTTGCTCTAAATTCAATATTTTTATTCCATTTATGTTTATATAATTTTAGTTTTGGACATGGAACTCCAATAGTGTAATATTAGTAAAGAAGAGGTTAAAATTCGAAATTAAGAAGAATTATTGTTAATTGTTTTTAATGGGTTTGGCAGTTTATCAAAAATTTCAATAAAAGCAAAAACAATTATGTACAACAAACATTAATTTGGCAGTTATGTGTTTATGGCCTTTTATTCGCCGAAATCTTTTCCAAAATTAGACGTCTTTGATTTGCTTATCATCTGCCCATTTGCTGTTCGAACTTGTAGTTAAATTTTCAAAAAATTTTGTTAACAACAACAAAGTTATCCAATGAAATTTTTTTTAGCAAATTCTTGACAAGGCCTTTAGCAGATACCTCATTAAAGTAGTGTATCTCTCGCTTTTCTATTTGTATGTGATTTCCCTACGCTTCAAGCTTTGGCGAACCATAATGTTGTTATTATAATGGTATTTCTGTTTTTATGTAGTATATGTATATAAATGGTCTTCTACTTAGTATACCGTGATTTCATGACTTCTTATATAACTTAGAGGAGCTACAATGCGTGATTCATCTTAAAAAATTATACTTATAGTTTTTAAATACATCGATACAAGTATTTTTGGTTTTAGTTCATAAATCTTATCACTAGAACAACAATTAAAAGTCTTTTTCACAGGCTGCACACACATCACTCACGTCTACTTACATACATAGGTATATATAGTAATCCTCCAGAACTTGGTCTAAATATTTTTTACTTGTGGTTATTGCAGCGCACTCCCATACATTCATACATTATTAAAATATTCGCACTCTGAAATATTATTTGAACCTCATTTGCTTTTTCATTTGAAAACTTTTCCATTTCTCGAAAAGCATTTATTGCCTACTTTTTCTTGCAAAACTTGCTTTTGCACTTTCAAATTGATAACGCAAATAACGGTTTAATATTTTCAATAGTAGGCAATCCTTACATTTAAATTCTATTTTTTTAGTTTGCTTCTTTCTTTTTAGCACCAGGGCAATCGTATCTGATTATTTTGTTTTTATTTATTATATTTATTACTATTTTCTGCTTTGCTTACTAACATTTCTATTAATTGTTTATGTTGTGCGTCGCATAATAAATGCTGGGAATATTTACGAGTTCCTAAAACTTATGTGACCTCACAATGGGTTAGCGTTACATTTTCAAAGTCCGGAGGTTAGTTATCACTACTTAATATTAATATGTGTATGTAAGTATGATTTGTATAGTTCGGATTTTTTTATTGTGCTAAATTATATAAATTTATTTAATCTTCCTCTGGATATAGTTTAGAAGAAGAGCAACTAAAATTGGTCCAGGAAGACCAGAAAGAATATTAGAGCAACACGATCCTTTGAAAGATTGTCTTGGAGAGCAGTTACTCTAATTGAATTGAGAAGAAATAGAAACCTAAATATGTTAAAAAGACGATTCACGAAAAACCTCTTCCATAGGCGTTACTTTATTTTCACACAAATTTAAAATTTGTATTCACCCAGATATTAGTATGGATGGTGACAATGTTCAATTTGTATTACATTTTGGAATAGTTTACCATCTTCGACGTTATATCAAGAATTTCCAGTATCTCAAACGAAAGGTCTAACAAACCTAACAGGGGTTCCGACTGTTGCATTGTCTAGAGTGGCAGAATTTTAAAAACTTGGTCCATAATTTCAAGCCAATAATTCAAATATCTTTACTCAAATTCAACTACCTCCTCTTTCAACTGAAAGCGGAACAACTCTGGCTACATTTTAGGAAAAAAGTCTGAGGTGCATTTCTGATTAGTTTCCCAAAAATTGTTGCATAGTCTTCACTAAAGCAAAGAATCGATATGGGTGTTTGTAAACATTATTAGCGCAAAGTCTTGAAGAAAACAGACTAGTAAAGTTGTGAAATAGAAGTTAATATCGATTAAGTTATATTTGTATTTACTAATAGAATCTGAAAACCCATTTTACAATATAATTTCAATGCATTGACCTTTTTTCAGAAACATCAAAAAAAAATTTTGGATCCATTAATTTAAGCTCAAAATATATTTAATTGGTAATTGGAAATATCATCCAATGAACTTGAAAAGCGAAACGACGCACTTGATTTGATTTAATAAAAGATGCTGCAAAAAAAAAGGTCGATGAAATACAAGTAGATTTCAAACATACAAAGTGAAAGAAAATAAATAGATAGCAGCGTGAATAATGAATGTATTTCGGATTGCTCTTGCCATAAGTATTCTCAGAATTACCTATCACTTTTTGGTAATTTAAAAAGCGATCTGAAAGGTGTCTAATTTTTGACTACCGGGTTTTATTGAACCCCTCCAGCACCGCTTCTCAGTCAAAGCAAAAGCTTCCTAACCTAAATGTTAACTCAATTTGAAAATCAATAAGATTATTACACGGATTAAGTATATAACACAAACAACCCACAATTTTTAGTATGATTAAAGCTTCTTTTCGAGTCGTGTGTGCATACACACATACATTCATAAATGACATTTGCACAGTACATTTTTACATAGCTAGACTAGGATTACATATTGTACACACGTATGCGCTTATTTATATAAAACATTTGCTGGGTTTGATCCTTGTCTTAATTTTCGGCTTAAAATGAGTTGTAAAAAAGTATATTTTTGCCTTTTCTTATATTGAAAATAGAGATCATTGCGTAAAGACGAGAGCTAGAGTTGTGTAATATGAAATTTTTGTTGACGGGTAAAAACTTACATACGAAATTTTCGAATAAAATTCAAATGCATAAAACAGGTGAATCGGGTCGAACACATACTCGCATGAGTTTTGTGGTTTGTTTGTAGCTTCGCATTTAAACGAATACTCGTGTCTTCGCCATTGTCGGCATCGTTTTGAATAGTTCCGGGGCACAATTCTGCACGAATTTGAAAGTTGCGATCGAAAGTGGTCAGACTGTGGTCACACGATCGATTTCAACATATCGCACAGAATTGTCGTTTTGTCAGCAAATTACTTCCTTCTCTTCCAGTACAGCAGTATCCATAGAACTCAATGATTTCAGGCGCGTCTGCAGCACCGATGATCCACGAAATTTGCGCTTGATTTTCCTGCAATGGAAAGCAAAATGTCTAAATGAGATTTTTCTGCTTGCCCTTTAATGATGTTCTGGGAGATGCCACTCACTTGTATGCGAAGGCGGCAAACGCACAGCACAGCAACACAATGATGAGACACAAGGTGGCTAATATCTCAGTGGGCAGTTTCATAATGGCCGAACACTGTAGGAAAGTCTCATCGTCTCCGGAAGGGCAGTGTACAATGCCGTCGCACCAAACGCTCGCGTTGACGCAAGCACCGAGCTCGGAACACTTGTACTGACAGTCTTCTGCATGAGTTGAAGAAATAATTTATTTTGCCTGGCAATACAAAGCATATAAGTACCAAGCCCACCTGCAATACTTAATATTGGTCTAGGAACCAATTCCATCCAATTAAATGTAAAATCTCCATTCTCAGGGCGTAGATATTCCACACTAATGGCTTTTGAGCGATTCGCAATTGAGTAAATGGGTCGCTCATTCCAGCCAGCGCTAAAAATTTCCACAAACTCGTAGGCCTTTGAATCGGGTGAGAGCGGACACGCCGTTATAGTCAAACCTAAAAAAATGTGTTTTATGGTAAGAAAGGACCAAAACAAGAAGTTAAACTCCACTTAGTCTATTGTATACAGTCCAGTACTCGTTTTACACTATTTTTAAATTTACCTTCAGAAGTTGTAAGCACAACTCGCGCCTTTGTTTCGCATCGATAAGAGCTGGTACCCACTATGGTTGTATTCATTGCTTTTCTGGGATTGTATTTACGCAAAAATATTGATTTGAGGCGCACGTATAGAAATTTGTTACCATTGGATGGTTCTATTAACCAAGGTCGCGTGCGGCATTCCATCTAATAATGAAAATATTGAATATACTAATTCGGTTTTTATAGTACGAGGTAAACCACACTCACATCACCGAATGTCATGTGGATAGTGCCACTGGGGCCGAACTTGCGTCGCCCATCTTTGCAGCTTGCTGGTCCTTTAATGAATTCAAACATGCCCTCGAAGTTGATGGCATCCGGATCGTCAAGTGTAGTCATATTTATCGCAGTAAAGTGGACTTCGAGATCACGACTGGTTGAAGTGTACTCTACAGGTAGATGTGACGAGTTCGAGGAGTTGCATAGACAACCGCGTGGCAACAAAATCGAGTCGTGGTAGGGACGTTCAAATATCTAGAAAATTTAAATTAGCTATTAGGAAAGCAGAGATTTTTCGAATGATAAAATTAATATGTTTCTAAACACATAGTTCTGTAGGGATTTAACTATTTCCATTAACTTTACGGCTTACTTACCTCGATGCGAGCATTAGTATCGCCATAGCAGAAGGAACGATTTATGTCCTCATCTACCCGCGACATGCATGGCCTATTTAGTGTGGTAACTTTTCGTAATTTGATGCGTATACGCTCACCTCGTTGACCTTCAAACTTGTAAATGCATTTTAAGTTTCGTGTACCGCCACGCCCAAACAGGAATATATTGCGCACGCTGCGAAAGATGGCTGGGTCTTTCCGATCCATAAGGCTGCTGACGAATTTACGATTACAATCGTTCTCGCCGCCAGCTAGCGGAAGACCGTCTTGATGCAGATCGATGAATTCGTACTTCAATTTGAATTCCAGTGGACTAAATGTAAATAAAAAGTTGAACTTATGTATAGAGTAAAGACTTCCGCATCCATGTAGTTGACACTTACCGCAACACAGTAGACTCTGTGTTCTTCAGTTCAAGTGTTATGCTATCGCTGCTTGACACATAACTTTCGGATATCGTGCATGGCCGCGCATAAGTCTCGTTGATATTCGAACGATCACAAGTGCGTGGTACAGTACCGCGGCAATAACGTGCAATAACATTTGTCGAATTGTGACTATAATGTGAGACTAACGGGTGTGTAGGTACATCGCTAGCACTGTAAAATAATATATTTAATATCAAATTTCGATGGAAATATTTGTTCCCTTACCAGTTAAGATCTTTACATGCCGGTGGTTCCCTTAAAGCGCCGTCCCAGATGCGTAGCATGCCACTACAATCCTCATGTGTTTGCAGCACGCCAATCGCGCCTACTGATGTCTCATCCATCTGCCCGAATTCAGGATCTAGGTTGAATTTCATCATCGAAATCCACACCTTGAAACGGGAGAGCGGTTGGTTCATACCTTGTGCACTTGTTCGGCGCGACAAGCTCAGATGATCGAAAGTTTTAAACACTCCCATGCCTTGCAAATGATAAAGGCAAGTGGTGTTTGGTGCCAGTGAATGCTTTGGGTTTTCAAGTATACCACGTCCAGCACCGCGTATCCAAAACTCACACGGTTTTTTGTTCTTCGAATACGTGGGACTCATTACATCGACGAAAACCACTTCAACCTGCAAACATTTTGTTGAATAAGTTATTAAATTGACTAATCTAACACATAACATCCATACGTCTAACTGAAACCCGTAAAGCGGCAACACTTGTGAAGATGTGCCTGTGAATGTGCCAAAGGGCGAAGTTGTAAATTCCACTAACAACTCTGGTCCACTGGACACTGCTGCCGGCACCGCTTGCCCGCCGCCGCAAAACTTCAACACTACTGGGTCACGTGTTGTATAGCCATCGTAAACCGTCACGTAGTCCTGTAAAAACACTGGAGTTAGTCGTCTCTTGTATTGAAAACCGAAAAAAACTAGAGAAATTGCGACCAATTTGCTGACAGAGCTTATCACAAAAACTGGAAAAATTAGGTTTGGACAGCGGAAGTGGAAGATTTTTATGCCGATACAAGAAAGTTCTTGTTCTTATACCAATTAAGACAGTGAGGCAAGGAAATTAGTTAATGGTGCCTAAGTTGGGCTACGAGGAAAAACTACAGTGTGTCTCCAGATTATTAGAGCAATTACTTTTGGAAACAATCAAGTACATATATATATAAATATTATATATATATAGGTATGCTTGCAGTTTAAAATATAAATAAATGTTGATTGAAACTGACACATGTTTTAATGGAGGATGCCTATTAACGTAAACAAATAACTACAAATAGATGCAAAAGCGATAGAAATAAATGTATAAGCCAAGTGCACTAAGGAAATTTTTGATTCAAATCTAGTTCAATACTAAGGTAGCTGGGTGAGGTGGGGGGCTAAATTTGTTGCCTTTTGTTTCTTGATAATTTAATTGGCGTTCTAATTTCGGTGTCTGTGTGTAGGTTTGTTAGTGTGGTTTACTAAAAGCCGAGCCATTATTTATTGATTATTTGCGAAACTGAAACATTTAGCTTTAGACTATCCAACATACAAACGCAACAGTTACGTTTAATACGAAGACGAAATGAATTGCGGTTTCGTAGAGTAAAAGCAGAGACTTACTCCATAAACCCTTCAGGAAAGTCTCTGTTAAAAGACACTTCAGTACCTCCTGTTTAACATTTCTTGAAGTCAAGTTGTTCAGAATGATTGTTTTCTTAACTTGCGGCATTAGAATAAGAATACCAAATTCAATCATAGAAATAGTAGTAATCAACAAAACAGATACATTTAATATTTCTAACCGCCACTTCTTCGTACTGGGCTTTTGACACTATTCGTGTCACTTGTTTAGTGCAATGTGGATAAGCCACAATACACTTTTCGGTGCAATTTAACTAATGTAAATTAGCTTGTGGTATCGCATATTTGATTGCCCTTTAAGTATAATAAATACAAACTGAATCGTATAACATATGCTAATAGTAGTCGAAATTCGTTATATTTTTTTCCGAGCTCATTATTCATCTTTTTGTCATAAAAAATTCGGCATTAAAATGTAATTGAACTTCTTCGAAATTTCCGGAAAAACTATTTTAAATCTTATGATGTTTTAATATAGCGAAGTAATAAGTTTTGAGTAGTTTTAAAAATAGTTTTTGTATGGGGTGGTCGTTATTCTCCGATTTAAGAGTTTTTATCTAGTGAACCTCTGTCCCAAGTTTAAGTATTTCAGCTTAATTTATAACATAGTCGTAGCATTTTGAAGTTTGCGCTTAACAGCATTTTAAAGGCGTGGAAATAATTCGATCCAATATCATTCTATTTAGAGGGTAAATGAACACGTCTACAAAGTATCAGGCTTCATCAAAATATCACAATTTTTACCCAAGTTATCGCTTGTACAGGCGGAAGGAAGCACGGACAGACATCTAGAATTCAACTCGTATTTCGCTTAGTTTTAGATGTTACAAATAAGCACCCAACCGTGCAACATGTTGCGAGTGTATAAAAATATATCGAATTTAAAAATCCAGGATTCCAGTGTTGATATGTAACAATAATGAATAACTCGATTAAATATTTTAATTTTTTTTTTTTAAATATAGCCGTTGCCAGAAAAAATATTAATTTTGTGAGGTGTAAATAAAAATTTTACCATGGGTAGAACGCCATGTGCAGATGTCTTTTCAAAACTTACGATGTTGGAAATGTGTAAAATATTTGTGATTAAATAATGGAATTTAAAGTTTCATACTATATAAGATTTCGCAGAGGAGTTCGAAGCCAGTAACACGGCATTAATGTCTCAAATAAATAAATGTCAATATAAAAGTACACTCTGACGAAAAGTCAAGTACAATCTTCAGTGGTTCAAACCCAGTTGAAGAACTGGATAAAGAAAACTGCTTGTTTATCCACAATACAACTATTAATGTGTTTGAGTGGCTTAGGACCAACAAATCACTTTATGTAGAGATAATAATAAATGTTGGCAAATCTAAATAAATAGGTTTTACTTAATGTAATTGACATATTCTACAATATAAAATTTCTGTACTTTTTAGCTTAACTTTCCCCGAAAACGATAAAATTAAAAAAAAAAAAATAAATTGTTTAATAATATATCATATAGGAAAACAGTTGTTATATTGGAACTTCTATCGCGTACATTGGCACAATTCAACAGAACGCTGACAAACTTTTTTCACATACTATGTCAAAAAAATCGCTTTGATTTGTACATTTGATTCGATTTTATATCATATATTCATATCGATTTTGTTGTAATGAGGGACCAAACCGAAGATACATTGACAATATGAGACGCCTGCACATTTCAACAGGTATGGTATACAAAGCTTCTTTACATTTTTCATAGAGCATGTCGCAATTGGTGATGGTTTATTGAGCTACAACTTGTTTGACATACTTTCATAAATGCTCAAAGGGATTGAGATCTGAACTGGACGATGGCTAGTCAAAACCTGAGTTTCGTTCAAATAATTGTTTTGTAAGAAGTTCTCTGAGATTTGGATCATTATCCTGATGATTCGACACGACGCATTCTTTGACTTGAATAATGGGTTCTTCCGGGAAATGCGACCATGGAGACTAGTCTCACCCAAACTACAAGCGACAGTGCGTTTTGATAATTTCTAATTAATTTTATTCCAAATTTTCCTCTTGATGTCGGCATCACTCATTCGCGGACCGCGTTTTGACATGCACACAATCTAGTGATCCAGGTGGATTGAGTTTTGCATGGTCTATTTTTACGAGAAACATTTTTTGTATGGTACCGTTGAAAATGATTTAGTGTACCAAATACCTTTTTCTTGGATCAATTTAACTGTATTGCAACAGTCTGATACGTCATACCAGCATCAATAATTGATTCGTGCATAGCAGGTGTACAAATTTTAGCGCTACCTATGATCTATGACCAATGAGCAATTTTAAAACCGAAAACAATTATAACTTAGTGCAAATTTTGCAAAAATATTTAAATCAAGATAAACTTTTGTCTAAATTGCTTAAAATAAGCTGTCACGTCAGAATCAGCTCCTGAACTTTCAATTATTACCGTTATCTCGTTAGTCTTTGATAAAAATCGGAAACTTGCAATGGCAGAACTTTTGTTCCCAATTAGTTGATAGTAGCTGTATGTGGAAAATTTCGCATTGAATTCATGAATGTGAGATAATCATGTCCGATTTTCGAGAGTGGTATTATGGTTCCATTTCAATAAGGTATACACTAACCATTTAAAGAGCTTGTATATGTTCAAAGGCTTTACACCATAAAGTTCTGGTACAAGTTCGGGTCGTTACAAAAATAAAACTATAATACATCTTTTAATAAAGTTATTTTGTGTAATGAATATATTAAATGAGCGATTGATCAATTTTCAGCCCGCAGGGTTTCTATTGGTAATAATGAGGCTGCTCGATCCAAAGATGTTTTGAGACTCTCAAAATTTATGTTGGGTATTTGACAGGCCATTTTCTCCAACTTTGATTTTGAGCCCAGCTGGGTTGTTTTGGCCTATATTCTGGAACATAATCTTGCTGGAAGATCCAATGCTCTACATCGAAGAGAGTATTGCTAAACTGCTTTTCCCGCCTGCTAAAATATTCTGTTGGTAATCTTTTGCCCCAGTTTAAACCCCTCTTTTTAAAAAAGTAAAAAAGTTTAAGTTTACAAAAAACTTCTTCAACAATGAACATTTTTTCATCTGTAAAAAGAATACTTTCGTGGCCATTGACCACGTGCCACTAAAGAAGCCGACCAGCTGATCGGTTCACCGACGGTAGACTTTCGTGTGGAGATCATATCGAATAAGTACCATGCGAGGACGGCCACTTATCATTCTGTTATCAACTGTAGACTTTTGAGAAAAATGATCAATAGTGCGATAAACAAATATTATCGAAATACTAAATTTGATGTTAAGCTCATCAATTTCACTTGCGCGTTTTTCCACAATTTTGTAAAACAAAGCTCGCCACTACATTGTTTATAAGCAAAATCAAACACTGAAATGATTATTATACATTTATCTGAGTAGACATTGCAAGCAAGTTATAATAAAAAATAACGGGACTTTTTTGAGTAAAGATGCTCTTCCTGCGTGTGAACCCAAATCAACAGGAATTCAAATACCATCTCAGGTTTTTTATAACCATCGGTAAAGTATATTTAGAATCATGTTTTACACCTAAAAGTGATTTCAGAAATTGAATAACAATACATATCTTAAATTCAATGCCGAAATTATGTATATTTGCCTCATAGTGATATAATTTGGATAAACGCTGGAGCGCGGCAATCGCAATGTGCTTGCCAATTTAGCTGGAAGTGTGCAAGATGAATAACGGTAGTGCCCGCGCAAAGATAGCAATTAAGCGCTGCGGCGGTCTCTAGTAATGACTAGGGCAGAATTCACATTCATTGTACTGATGTTTGCCCCTATGCATGCTGGTCGTTTAAAGCGCCCGTTGACGGTCCATGCTTTGATCGGTTGGCAAAAGGATGCGGCAAAATGCAACTGTTGGTGTCAAAGCTAATGTGCAATGTTCGTCCTGCTACTGGGCAATCGAGGTGATGCTGGTGTCGTGTGGTGTATTCTGCCGGTCATCCATCAAGTTTTATTGCTGAACCAAAAATTATAGCAACTGCCGTTATGCAGACACATACCTATGTATGCAGTGTGAATAATGAGAGTTGAAGACTGAGAAGGCAAAAGGAAAAAGTGGCACCAAAGCAAAAAATTGTGAGCGGAGAGAATTTTTACTGTCGAACGGTAAAATATTAGGAAGTAACTAAACGCGGTACAAGCGTAACATGTGGTTTTCAAGACGAAATAAAAGACATACAATTTAATGTTACGGCCAAGAATTAAGCTTTATTATAAAGATAGTGTTTGCCACTTTTCTCAATTTTCATCCCCTTTGTAGCAATTAGGGCCGTATGTCAGCTGTAATGGTCCGAATATTCTCAAGCGTCAATCTTCTCGGGCTTATCTGCGTAGACAAGCTATTTCACTTAACATCACAAAAATAGTCCACCGTTGCTAAATCGTAGGATCTTGGAGGCCACGCCACAAGTCCACGATGCGATATAATGCGATCACCAAAAGTTTCCTTCAATAAATTGATTGTTCAGTTGACTGTGGCATGTAGCGTCGTGTTGTTGGAACCTAAGGCCGTCCTCATCGACATCTTGTAATTCAGGCACGAAAAAGGCATTAATCATGGCTCTATGGTGTTGACCATTGACTGCAACATAATGGACATTTTTGAAGAAATATAAACCAATGATTCTCTCTGCCCATAGAGGATGCGCGTTATTCACTAGAGTATCGTGGTGCGAAACCGATCCATTATTGCTCGACATACCGACTTTGCTGGGAGATTATGTCGATCGAATATTGGATGCTGCGCGCGATGCATCGGGCGTTTCTAAAACTATATTATTTGTATTCACCGATAATTTAACCGGCAATTATTTTGACATTTTACTTACGAACTTTAAGTGTGTGGGTTTTGAAGGAAGTTTTTTCTTTTACTGCTTATAGGTCCTAGAAACAATGTCTTTTAAGAGTGCTGAAATGTGGATTAGATATCGCTCTTAATCGATGGCTTTACAAATACAAAATTTTTATCCACACCCTCAAATGGTATTATGTGCTTGGTGGGATGAGGAACATAAGCGGAAGCACTTAGTTCAGTAAGCCTTAAAGTGACAAAACAAAAAAAAAAGTAGGATAATGTATAAAAATTGAAATGGAAAGCTGGTAAGAGAAATAAAATCGCGAATTAAATAAGTAAAACTGCAAACGAAAGCCCTAAAAGGATTGTTGGTGTGCAGCGAAGCCATTAAGTGGGAAAGTAAACACGCTGCCCTCGACACTTAGCGGCAAGACATGCGCTCCCATTATGACGCTAATACGCCTCGTTGGAATGCAAACTTTACTAACTCAAAAAACTACAAGGGAACACCGGCAAAAGAGCAACGAAACTTGGCAGCTACAAAAAGTGTGCAAACGATGGGAAAACTTTTGCCCAACAAAATAAATCTGTTAGCAACATAGCTAAAAGAAAAAGAAAGCAAACTAGCAGCACTGCCGAAAAAATTTAAACTAGAGGACGTACGAAAATGCCAACGCTGTTGATGACCGAACGGCAGGAACGCTGCTGGACGCCACTCAGGGCCAAATGGTGCTCATGCATATGATGAATTAGCGTGCTTAAGATTCGCGGTGGATACACCCAAACACCCGCAACATTCTATACGACCATCTGGCCTTTGAGCGCGTTGGCACGGTGCAGCTTTAAACGGATCAACACTACTTTGTTTGTACGTATGGTGAAATGTATGTGTGGATGTGTATTTTTGTGAGGATGTATTAACACATATGTATGTATGCTCGTATGATATGGATATCCGGTTTGATTTACACATGTGCCGTGGACACATATTGCAGCAGACTTGCTCGTGCCGACATAAAGCAGAGCATTTCAACTGTCCGAACATGCATATGGGAAGCATATGGACATGTTTGTAATATTTGTATGTACATATGTTGGCGATTTAGGTTTATACCGGTAATTGACCTCCATATGCCCAGCTGTTGGAGATCCGATTTAACCATAAGTGTAATTAGAATTCCAAAAATATGTGTGTATGTAAGGGCTAACCCCTTCTTCTTTCTTTCTTTCTTTTCTAAGTTGATTGTTTTTTTTTCAGTTTTAGTCGTAAAAATAAGGAACCAACGTAAACAAGCTCTTAATTTTCATTTTAAACTGAAATTGTGCTTAAAACATTTTCCTTTGGCCATCTCCAAAGCAAATAAGCCCAGATCTGTCAGTTAAAGTTAGGCTTCAAATAAACTGAACAATTATACAAGTGCTTTACAAAATATGTGTTGATTATACGACATGGTGTACTATATAAAAAATAGTAATTTGATGATAACAAAAACTGCAACTTCAGAGGGTATTAGGAAAATCAAATCAACTTAAAATAATCGCTTCCCTAATTTACATACATTTGTAAGTACACCTGAAAATATTAACACGATAATGCTAACATATATTCAAAGAAGTAAGAAAGGGTTAAGTGCGGGTGTAACCCAACATTTCATACTCTTGCAATTTGCCAGGGAAGTACTTTCAAATGAGATATTTGTGACATAGACACAACCGAAGAAGCTAAACTTAATATATTGGGTTGATGTGCTAAACGCCAATCAGGGGATCGCAATTAATTATTTTAGGGATATAAGCTTTGGATTGGACCAATGTCTAGACCAACTCCATTCATATTCAGCGCTAAGCTATTAATATAATTTTATAATTATTAAGAAACCTTGTCCACTTCATTTTATTAAAATATCACACATTTTTATCAACTTAAACGGTTTATACAGAGAAGAATAAGATTTAAAATTGTGTTATATGGGAAGTAGGTGTGGTTGTGTGCGATTTCAAATTTTTGCATTGTGACAGGAGTCGAGTAGGTCCTGGGATAGCTCCGACAAAACTTTTTTGTATTATATCGGGTGTAAAATTGTATGTCTCTAACGCATTTATTTATAAATTTATTAGATTCGACTAACATTTTGGCATTACGCGTCTACTGCAATGTACTACATGATAGTAAACTTTTTCGAGTTTTTTATGAAACTGTACCTAAAAGCTGCATAAAGCTGCTGTCCTAATAAATTGGTAGTTAATAAATATGTTTCTTTTTTTTTGTTTAAATAGCCGATATTAGTCAACTTGAGAAGGCAATACGAATCTAGTAATTTTACAATGAACCTGGCAATTATCAAATTTACTAAATATAACGACAGAATGGCTTGCCATTGAATTCTGTTTTAGTTTACGAACTCTTGTACCAGTTTGAGAAATACTCTAAATTAAACAGAGATTCTCAAAAATATAAACAAAGAAATATTGTTTGCGTTAGCGTTTTTATACTTTACTGAGATCAGTAATCATAAGCAATATACATAAAATACTGTTTTAGTACCAGGGCTAATAAGGGTAACAACTTTTCAGGCTTCATAATTTAAAAGAGTAAAATAAGCGAACTACAAAATAGCTGATTTATTAAGGCTTCATATCAATGATTACTATAGAAATCCACTGTAGCGAAGACGCAGTAAATAGTTTGATGTAATCGATATTTTGAAACTTCGACGGGAGCATCATAATTATATCAGGTAAAACATATACAAATTTTACACTGGGCCATGCCAATATATTGTACTACGAAAGAAATTACCAGTATTTTGGCTTTAATTGTTCGTAAATAGTATGTCATGATATTCGTTCAATTTTACCGCGTAGACTGCCTTACATTGACGTATCCCATAGAAATAGTTTCATGTAGTCAAATCGGACTTATGTTTACAATTGACAGTCGTTTTATTGATTGATTTCATCTCCCAAAGTTCGTCCAATTGAAGTAATGGTTCGCGCGCTGTAAGACTTGTTGCACTATTCAGTTTACAAAAAATGCAAAACCACATTATGTAGCAACTTTTCCTGTATGCAAGAGTGTCCGGTGAGTCTCTAAATTATTGTTTGTGTTCCAAATGATGCCACTTCTCTTAGACATACCAATTAAAGCAAAAAGCGAAGCAAGATTTGTGTTTGCTGTTAACTTGTTCGCTGAATACATTAACAACTGATGATAATGTCATTGAACTTGGAGAGTCTCGAGCTAATCGATTCTCTTTGAATACTCTCACATAACTGTGCTGTACAGCACTCGGGTAAAATTGCTAGTACGACACGCATATTTAATTAGGACTGGTTTGACCACCCACATCGAAATCCTCAGTGTTTAAGGAGGGGGGTGTGACGTGTTGGCGGCTTTCAGGTGTCATGTAATTAAATGCTGTTATTGATTAATTAAAGGCAAATAGAAAGCGGACCTTTATTTATATGTATGCAGTCGAAGAGGTGCGGTGTGTTTGAAAATAATTGTTTCTCGTTTATAAGATTTATATGCAGTATGTTACGTACGTGGTAATGCATTTGTGAATAATAGTAATTGCAATAAATGCTAATTCGGCGATTCATGTGCAAAATTACATGTAAATAAAATGAATAAGGAGTGGAGTATGTGCGAAGGCAGTACATTCAAGATAGTCTTTAGGATATAGTGTTTCTTAGGTCTTTGTACTACAATATTGAATATAATAATGCTTACCCTTACTTCAATATTATGAGTTTGTGTATTTAGTGTTTACAGTTAATATATTTGATTTATTATTCTACATGTGCTACTTAAGAGTGACTTTGATAAGTAGTTTATGTGGTCTCTTGCTTACCGTTGACTTCCATTTGGGCCTCAAGTGGTCCTAATTGAGCATAACATTAAATTGCGTGAAAATATATAGTTTATTATTGTCTTTTATTGGTTAGGAGTTATTTGTTTAGTGGAGACGTAGCGTATGAGTAACATTTTTAGATTATAGTACGGTGTGATCAAAGAAGAATTTTAGTAAACTATATCAGTACTCACGCGTGGTATTTAGTCTTTGAAAAGTTCAAATATATCGCTTTCAAAAATGTAATCATTTGGATTTTTTAATATATCGAAAATCTACTAGCCGTTATGCAGCACCCTTTGCGTGATTACGAGTATATCATTTTTCGTCAGTAAGAAGTGGGAATGGTTTTATAACAACAAGCATGGGATATAGAAGTTTGTTAAAAATGCTCCAAATCACTTTACATGTTTAATAAAAATGTATTTAGTTCTTTATTAGTAGTCCTTCATCTATATCATCATGTAAAGTTAATACTTGATCCATGTTCAGATAGATGATAGTTGTAAAGTGGTATCAAAATTTAGTAGTGTTTTATGGAATTTTTGTGGATATATTTAAAATAAGGTTAGGTTTTTATTGTTCTAAGCTTTAATGTAGAAGGCTTAATCTTCCGCAGGCACAATTTCTTATTATTCGTCAAAAGCAACAGCAATTATATTATATATGTAGGTATTATGTAACATCACACAAATTTAAAAATATTATTATGCTGTAGATCCGAAACCAAATTTGTTTGTATTTTTATGAACGAGTGTTTTACATAGAAAAGGACATATCCGGTCTACTTATGACCTGTTGCATACATTCGTCAATATTTGTACGCAGCACGAGTTCCACTTTGTTTTCCTACGTCGCAACCATAAATATGTTATTCAATAATTTCGTGATTGAAATTTTAAGTCGACATGCTTATTAAATTTCGTGTACAGCATATGAAAACACCTCAAAGTGGCTCACAACATCGTGGCCGTATAATTAAATAACGGCAAATTTACGACGCTTCAAATTTATAAGTTTGTATGCAAGGAAATCTTCGAAAGAGTGTACGTAAATACGAAAAATGAAAGTAAACATATTTCATTGCCGACTGGTATTTTGTTTCTACTTTTTTCCAGTGTAATGAAAATTCTAAATGTTTTCGTTTGCTACCACCTCTTGCCTTTAGGTGAATAGCTTAAATAATATCCTTTTGGTATTTCTTTAATTATAAAGTGCAGCAGCCTTACAGAATGTAAAATATTATACACAGAAACTCCTCTCTATAAGAAAAAAGGCGAATAAGTAAAAGCAAAATTGTCTACGGGATAAATCCTTTGAAATGGACGTGCTGGCTCGGGGGAGAGTGCAAAAGTGTAAACATAAAAAACAAAGGCGGATTATCCTTTGGGAAAATTGGCAATAGCGTTGAATAAAGCTTCCGAAAAGCATCGCAAAGCTTTTGAAATGCTAAATGAAAAGATAATTTGAACGCAATGCGCGGAACAGCTTTGGAAGTATAAATAAAATCAACTTGCCATAGTGTTCTTTCGATTTTTACTTACAGACAGCTCCTTTGCAATAGCAGTGGAGAGGATTTTTGAGAAAATACGATATAAACTTTTATTCTGTAAATACTCATTTTATACAGATCGAAGCTCACTCTTCATAGTTTATAAGTTTTTCGTTGACTACTGGATTTAATTTTACATTAAAATGGGAAGTTAGTACCTTTCTTTATTGGTTTTGTATTTGTTTTAACATAGTTTGAGCTTTTAAAGTTTTCGCCTTTCGATAACTGACACTATACACAAATCTCCTTATTGTCGTTAAAAATATTTAATACTAATATAATGTTTTCATGTTGTAGTGTAGTGGTATTAGGTTAAATTTTCGTACCTGAACATTGTCGCATTCACTCCATGTTTTTAGACGAGGCTCAAATTTCTTATCCTTTTCGCTAGTGCTAGGCGGTGATTTGTTGCCGATTCCTGTATCTTGAGTGGATATCCATACTAAATTTCCTTTTAATTGCCTCACAAGTATCATTGCGTGTTTGCCGTGCGGCACCTCATGCTGTAAAGAATATCAAAAATAATGATTGTATTAAAAATTTGCTAAGTGGCAATCGTGCTCAAATATTTGCGATATAAACATTTCGTAAATTTTATTTATTTTTAATTATTAATTTGAAAAAAAAATCTTTGTTGTATTGTAATTGTAAACTATTAATTCCATTCAGTCGAATACCGAAGCAGTAGAGTTTATATGCTACGCAATAAAAATTTAGCCGAAGTCAAATTCAAAATTGTGAACAAATTTCAGCTTTAAAATGTTTAAATACTATTTTTGAAAGATTAAAAGCGGGATAATATTTTCAGGTAAGGGAGAAACATAGAACAGGTACTAGACCAATATCTAGACCGATATCATTTATATTAAAATTGAATCACATTATATTTATGACAACTTAAGTGGGCAATAATTTCACTAAAATATAATATCACATCTATTTATCAATATAAATTTTATAAAGACAACCGAAAAGTTGAAAATTATTATAGTGTGGACAGGGAAAGGTCTGGTCTGATTGCAATTTCAAATTATAAATTTTATTTTTTTTACTTTCTACTCGAAATCTTTTTTAATGATGATATCTACAACATCAACCTCCTCAGAGTGTCCAGGAACACGTGTGCTAAGTTTCAATAATATACCATATACTATATAAAACAGATCTTCTACTGAACCTACAGACCAAAGATAGAGTTTGAGTTTTGAAAATATAGGTAATTGACCTTAAATTGAATCCAAATACCCACAGTGAACTATATTGTACTTGGGACTGGTATAGTTACTGTGTACTGACCTTGGACTGAGCCGTCAGTCGATCAGCAGCTGAAACAACATTCTTTAAATAATTAAATCTATCTATGTTTGGTTTTATTCTTGACGACTTTATATACAACAACCTGGACGTCTGAACTTCAGATTAAGGGAATGATTTGTTGAATACATTACCATGAGTAACGTTCTTTTTAAAAGACGAGGCAATACCTGCAAGTGTTGGCAAAACTTCATATTAAAGAATTCAACATTCATTATTCGACGAAATCCTAAATGAATTACGATCAAATTTTGTATTTTATTAAATTATATTACAGGTCATAGACTCAATTAGTTTTATGTTTATATTTTACTGACATAAACTTAACTGAAGTGGCTACATTTAATATATTGAGTTGATGTACAAAAGATCAACCAGATGATCACAATTGATGATATTGTGGATATGATATTAAGACCAAGGTCTGCACGAACTCCATTCATGTTTAGCGCTAAACCGTTAATATAATAAGCCTGGTTCGAATAATGGAAATTATTATATGTTATATAATATTTATAATTTCACATATTTTCGGTATTATATTATAATTCGGTAGTATATTATATCAGTTAAATATTGACCTATACGTACAGTACGAGGTCAAGCGGAAGTTTGAAAACCTTTTATTAGGTATATAGGAGATAGGTGTATCAGAAACAGATTTCCTCTGCTTTTCATTAAGGTACCATACCATCAACAATATATACCATGAGCAGTAAAGTCAACCGGATGTTTGAAAATACTGATATTAGTTGTATGGGGGCTAGAGCAAGTTTTCACAAGATGTTATCCATTTTAGGCACAGATATGCCTATGGAGAAAAATACGCTCGCTTAAGATAACTTACATATTGACCGATAAATTCGGTATAAAGTCAGCCGGAAGTCCGAAAGTCTCTTTATTAGATGTATGGGGGCTAAGGAAATACTCACCCGATTCAATCCCCTTTTTACATACAGACGTACTATTATCAGGAAAGGATTCTCTCCTAATTTCAATAACATATTTCACACATTGACCGATATATTCGGGTCCAAATTTCTGGTATATGAGGGCTTGAATAGTTATTGTCCGATATTGATTTTTTTTAGACCTGAGGTGGCACATCTAAAATGCACTATTCGGAAATAGGAACGGTTGTAGTTCAATTTCGTCCATTTCCGCACTGTAATATAGGAATAGCAATATAATATTACTTACTAAAGTTGGTCGATATCGGTTGAGTAGGTCCTGAGATATTGATTTGCACCTAAACATGGGCGGTGCTACGCTCATTTAATTTTTGTATTGGTTCTTATTAGGCTTAATTATATCATTCTATGTGTAAAATTTAAAGCCTCTAACTTGTTTAGTTAATGAGTTATCGCACTTTTAGTAGTTTTAATCAAAACCGATATACATGAAGTGAGCGAGTTTATCACCCGATTTCAATAATTTTCACACTTGTCCTGGGTGAATTTGGTCATTATAGCTGTAGTGGTTTAGGAGATATGTACATTAAACCTATTAAAGCGCGGGGTTACTCCCACTTTGTAAAAAAAATTTGAACTTCAGATGCCACTCCATAATGTTTATTGTGGAGCTTAGTTATAGCAAATTTATTGATTTTCGATTAATGGCGTTTTGTCGACGTGATAGTACTCCCATCTACAAATAAACCTTCTTGTGGTGCCAAGAAACAAGTTTCATTAAGATATCTCACTTTTTACTTAAGCTGCAGCTTGCTCAGACGGACGGACGGACAGACAGTTATACGGATTTCAACTCTTCTTTTCATCCTGATCGTTTATATATACATAACCCGATTACTAACTCGATTCGTTAGAGTTGATACAAACAACCGTTAGGTGAACAATACTATTAAACTCTGTAGGAACATGTTCCAAGAGTAGAAATATAATTATACCCTGAACAGGGTTATTAAGTTTACCAAGATGTTTGTAACACTCAAAGGGAAACGACGGAGACTCTATAAAGTATATACATATATAAATAATGTTAACGTGTTAAACTGAGTCGATTTAGCTTTGTCCGTCTGTTTGTCTGTATATACGCGAAATAGTTTCTCAGTTGGTGAGCTAAGAAGCTGCTCATATGTCGGAATTGTCAATAAAGGACAGCTATAGCATACATCATACTCTGTAGCAGCCGTACCTACTGGCCGATCTAGCTCAAGTCCTTGTATGGAAAACTTTTTTATTTGGAAAGGTATCTTCACAAAATTTAGCAAATATTATTATCCAAGGCATCGCAACAATCTTTAAATATATTGTTCAGATCGGCCCACTATAGCATATAGCTGTCATCCGAAATAAGCGATCAAAATCAAGATTAAGGTTTTTTATACCCTTTGATGCCATAAAAAATGCACTTGTGAAGGGTATTATTACTGCGGTTCAGCTGTTAACGTCTTGTCTTGAATAAGACACGAAGAAAAGATAAATATGGTTGAATATTTCAATACAAGCAATAAAAAGAATTACCATTTCCTAGAGGGACTTACTGATAACTTGCTAAAAGTTAAATATACATACAAACACATTTGGCTTACCACTGCTAAAAATAATTTTGTCATAAATCACACGGTGATTCCACCACACTGTTGTCCCCACACGAGAATAGAGAGTATGTAAGTTTCTCAATAATCAGCAGAAAATTCTTTGGTGGAATTTCAATTTATTTTACTCAATAAATTTTCACAGGAAAACCCCGACGCTTTTCAATACATACTCACATATGTAAGTTTATATTTTGGCACTGTTGGCTCCTAGCAGAAATACGATTTATCTCTAAGTGATGGACGAGATTTTTCCAAACTGTACGACTTCATTCGTGCACCTGTAAGTTTATTTGCTTTGTTGAAAACATGTTATTCCCGTAGATACAGTATTCCATAGATAAACACGAAATGTTGATACGCTCTCTTAGATTAAATAATTTTTCAAGTTTTTGGTTATAATCCTTGGCAACTTAAGTAAATATATACATATCTCTATCAAAGTATTACTGTATAGCTCCCCTTTAAATTTGTTAAATAGTGCAATGATATTATATTAAGAGTCTTTTAGTGCTCTTACTATTTGTACCGAAAAGGAGAAAAAAGAGAGTTGCTGTGAAATCATAAATGGCTGATAGATGCTTTGGCCACCACACAAACGTTTAAGCGCACTGATTTGCACAGAGGCAGGCATTTCAACAATGCGATTCGATATTCTAAGTGCTGACTGCAATATAAATAGTTTCGTGTGCTTTGAAAGCAATTCGTAATCAGCGTGTGATTTATCTGTTTTATTACTGCTGCTGTTGTTCCAATAGTTTTTGCCAGCTGTTAAAGAAAGCGATTTCGCCCTTTGGCAAATTCAAAAGGCGGCACTCATGGGTACGAAGGCGTATGAGAGTGTTGTCCTCGCGAGTCTTGGTAGTTTGATTCAAAAAATTTCGTGAATTATGTATATAAAAGAAATATGATACGCATTTATACTGCAAACTAAAGATATTGAACTCATATTGCAGACTGTTATTAAGTGTTGTTATAACTTGAGGCAAAAATTTTAGTACGCATCAGATAGACCCCTTTAATTTTTTTTTAACGATTTTTAAAACATTAAATTCTTATAAATTTTTTAAAATATTCAAAAAAATGTATGGAAATATTATAAAATTATTTTTCAGCACTTGCCGAGCTCACTGGAGGCTCATAAGTATATCATGGAACAAGCTTAAAGCTATTGCTATGGAGGTTACTCCTAAAATTATGTGTTTCTAATGGAATCACGACTAAGTAATCGTTGAAAATGTTGCGGAAGTGTTTAGGCGACACTAATTTATCACGAATAAATGTATTTGAGTGGCACATAGCATTCAGTGAAGGTCGAGTACTCGTCAAAAACTTGCCTCATGTGAGTCGTCCATCCACCTCTGTAAATGACGATAACATCGAAACAATTAAAGAAGCAGTGCCTGAAATTCGTCGTGTTGGCATCAGAGAGATGACAGAGTATCTCAACATCTCTTATCAATCAACTTAACACATTTTGGTTAACATAAAACCCTGAATCTTTTGTAAAAACCACTTCAAGTAGATATCGTAAAAGAGATGCTTGACAACGTAACCGAGAAACTCTATATTCATTAAATGCATCATTCCTAGTGACGAGGCGTGAGTTATGAATATGACGTCAGAACTGTC